GTCGCGCATGTCGAAAGCGTCGCCGTCGTAGAGCTCTGGCACCTCGCCTTTGCACACTGCCGGCAGGTCGAGGCCTGCCTTCGGGGGGGGCGGCCCTGGGTCGGCGGCGCCGCCGTCCCGAGGCCCGCTTTGGCCCGAGTGGCTTGCAGCGTCTCGTGCAGCCTCTTTTTGCCGCCCTGGACCTCCACGGCAGCGTCGTCGCACTCCGCCCTGGCGTCCTGCAGCCCTTGTTCGGCCTCGATCACCTTCTGCACGGCGACAGTGAAGGCTGCCTCTGCCTGCCGCAGGCGGATGCTGGTCGACGAGGCCTCCCCCTCCAGCAGCTTGGCCCTTGGCGCAGGGGGCAGGGTGGCTGGCACGAGCGTCGCCTCGAGCTCCTGCACGGATGCCCGCTTGTCGGCCCCACTTCGCCCGCGAGCTGCTCCAGGAGCTGCTGGACGTCGCCTTGTCCTGGCTTCGCCACGGGGCCGTCCCACAGCGCCGGGCTGACATTGCCGTCGCGCGCCCGAGGCGGCTTGCGGACGCCCGCCGGCTGGGCGCGCCACTTGCCCCCCCCCCCCCCCTGGCCACCACTGTCGCGCCAGGGACCTGTGATCCTCGGACCCAACGCATGCCCACACTTGTAGCATTCCTCCTCCTCCTCCTCCTCCTCCGCCTCCTCCTCCTCCTCCGCCTCCTCCTCCTCCTCCCCCTCCTCCTCCTCCTGCTCCTCCTCCTCCTCCTCCTCCTCCTCCTCCTCGTCCTCGTCCTCGTCCTCCTCCTCCTCCTCCTCCTCCTCCTCCCCCTCCTCCTCCTCCTCCTCCTCCTCCTCCTCCTCCTCCTCCTCCTCCGCCTCCTCCTCCTCCTCCTCCTCCTCCTTCTCCTCCTCCCCCATCCTCCTCCTCCTGCCTAGGCGAATGCACCCACACACCGCACACTTGCGGCAATCGGTCCACTTGCTCGGGCCCTCGGTCCGTCCGTGGTCTGCTGACTTCCCCCGCCGGGCTCGGCCGCCCCCCCCGTGGCCATAGTCCCCCATTGACAATATCAGGAGCACGGGGAGGAGTCAGGTCGCCTGTCGACCGCGAACCTCCCCTCCAGCCTCACCTTTCGGTTGCGACCAAATTCGAAAGCCAAGGCGCAGGTGGCTGCGGAGAGGGGGAGGAGGAGGAGGAGGAGGAGGAGGAGGAGGAGGAGGAGGAGGAGGAGGAGGAGGAGGATTTGTTTTTTTCCCCCAGGGGGCTCCAGCCGCGTCCGGCCTGCAGTTTAGGCCAGGCAGTGAGGGGCGCGCAGCGGCGGCGAAGGCTGCAGGCCCAGAGGCAGCACCAGCTGCAGGAGCGAGCGAAGGAGAGGAGGAGGAGGAGGAGGAGGAGGAGGAGGAGGAGGAGGAGGAGGAGGAGGAGGAGGAGGAGGAGGAGGAGGAGGAGGAGAGGGAAGGGGAGGGGGAAGGGGCGCCCTCCTGGTTCCGTCTCGCTGGCCTCAGCCTAAGTCAGGCTCCCGACGGCCGCGTGTCATGCATAAGATATAAGAGGCGCCAGTAGCGCGGGAACACCTTCGTCCACCGCAATGGCCCCAGCTTCGAATCAGGGACCCAAATCCCCTCACACCACCAAAAGAATCACGAGGGGAGGGGTCTCGCTATTCCCCAACCATGCTGTGGTGTTGGGTCCCCGTTTTGAAGTGACGGCCCCCGCATTCCTTCCTTCCTTCCTTCCTCCTCCCCCTCCTCCCTCCTCCCATCCCTGCCTCTGCCCTCCGCATGCCTTCGTCGTCGTCTCCCTACCCTGCACAACGCTTCGGGGCCCCATGGGTAGCTCCACCGATGGCCCCAGTGGCGGTCTCCACATGCGTATCCCCCACGCAGCACAGCGCTTCGTGGCCCCATGGGGAGCTATACCTACGGTCAGAGGCCTCAGTGACGGTGTCCACATGCGTCTCCCCAACGCAGCACAGCGTTTCGTGGCTCCGTAGGGAGCTCCATCTAAGGCCCCAGTGGCGATGTCCACATGCGTAGCCCCCCACCCAGCATAGCGCTTCGTGGCCCGATATGGATCACCATCTAAGGCCCCAGTGACGGTGTCCACATGCAGCTTCCCCACCCAGCACAGCGCTTGATGGCCACACGGGAAGCTCCACCTATGGCCCCAGTGGCGGTGTTCACATGCGTCTTCCCCCCACACAGCACAGCGTTTCTCCATGGGGAGCTCCACTGAAGGCCCCAGTGGCGGTGTCCACATGCGTCTCCCCCACACAGCACAATGATTTGTGGCCTCATGGGGAGCTCCACTGAAGGCCCGAGTGGCGGTGTCCACATGCGTTTCCCCCGCCCAGCACAGCGCTTCGTGGCCCCATGGGGAGCTCCACCGATGGCCCCGGTGGCGGTGTCCACATGCGTCTCCCCCACCCAGCACGGCGCTTCGTGGCCGCATAGGGAGCTCCACGTAAGGCCCAGACGGCGGAGTCCACATGCGTCTTCCCCGCGCAGCACAGCGCTTCGTGGCTGCATGGGAAGACCCACTCAAGGCCCCAGTGGCGGTGTCCACATGCGTCTCGCCCACACATCACAATGATTTGTGGCCCCATGGGGAGCTCCATCTAAGGCCCCAGTGGCGGTGTCCACATGCGTCTCCCCCACACAGCACAGCGCTTCGTGGCCTCATGGGGAGCTCCACCGATGGCCCCAGTGGCGGTGTCCACATGCGGCTCCCCCGCCCAGCACAGCGCTTCGTGGCCTCATGGGGAGCTCCACCGATGGCCGCAGTGGCGGTGTCCACATGCGTCTCCCCCACCCAGCACGGCGCTTCGTGGCCCTATGGGGAGCTCCACTGAAGACCCCAGTGGCATTGCCCGCATGCGTCTCCACCACCCAGCACGGCGCTGCGTGACCCTGTGGGGAGCTTCATCTAAGACCCCAGTGGCGGTGTCCACATGCGCTTCTCCCACCTAGCGCAACGCTTCGTGGCCTCATGCGGAGCTGCTCCTGAGGCCCCAGTGGCGGTCTCCACATGCGCTTCTCCCACGCAGCACAGCCCCGTTGGGAGCTCCACCTAAGGCCCCAGTGGCGGTGTTCACATGCGTCCCCCCCACACAGAACAGCGTTTCGTGGCCCCATTGGGACCTCCACCAAGGCCCCAGTGGCGGTGTCCACATGCGTCTCCCCCACGCAGCACAACGTTTTGTGGCCTCATGGGGAGCTCCATCGAAGCCCCCAGTGGCAGTGTCCACGTGCGTCTCCCCCACCCAGCACGGCGCTTCGTGGCCCCATGGGGAGCTTCATTGAAGGCCCCAGTGGTGAACTTCTCGTGCGCCCTGGTGGCGAAGTTCGCATTCGTCTCCCCCGCTCCGCACAGCGTCTCGTGGCCCCATTGACGATGCCCACAACTGCGGCACTGACAGCTGCATCTTGTTGGGTCCTTCGCGAGGCTGATTTCTCTGGAGGCCCTCGTCGGGCCCCGGGACCGTCAACAAAACGACTCAGGGTGAAAAGCCAAGCCAGCCCAGGGGAATAGGTCGAGACCTCTGAGGGTCGACGTGATGGAAAAAATATGACGTCGGCGGGGGTCTAGGGATCTAGGGAAGAGGCTCATGTAGGCTCCATGGCGCCTGTAGAAGCTGGCTCTTGGGGGGGGGGGAGCGCGGGGGTGCGCATCCTCCCCGGTGGGAAACATTTGCCCAGGCAGGCTCCACGGCTCCTACCGAAAACTGGCTCTTGGGGGGGGGGGGAAGGGGAAAGGGAACGGGGGGGGGTCGTCTCCTCCCCTCCCGGTCCCTTCCTCCCTGCTCGAGTATCGTTTAACCGATCCCCATCCCCAGCGGCGTGGCCTGGGTCCCACTGGCCGATTTACCCCCCTAGATGGGGGTACAGGTCGTTCCCTTCGGGTTTCGAGGGGTGCATCCCCAACTGGGTTGGCCATTTGGTGGGGGTCTCGGAGGGGATGGGGATGGGGATGGGGATCGGATAAACGATACCGACCGAAGGATGGGGGGGCGGGGGGCGGGGGGCGGGGGGAGGAGCGAGGAGGAGGGGGAGGAGGAGGAGGAGGAGGAGGAGGAGGAGGAGGAGGAGGAGCGAGGAGCGAGGAGGAGGAGGAGGAGGAGGAGGAGGAGAGGAGGAGGAGGAGGAGGAGGAGGAGGAGGAGCGAGGAGGAGCGAGGGGCGAGGAGGAGGGGGAGGAGGAGGAGGAGGAGGAGGAGGAGGAGGAGGAGCAAGGAGCGAGGAGAAGGAGGAGGAGAGAAGCACGAGGAGGAGAGGAGCGCAGGCGAGCTCCGGGCCGACGCGCCGGGGCATCGCGGGCCACGGCCTGCCACGTCCAAGCCTCGCCGCGTCTCCTCGCCGCGCAGCGCCCGCGTGCAGGCGCAGCGCAGACTCGCTCTCTCGAGGGGCGCCTCGAGCGAGAGCCCCACGTTGGACAGAAGACGTCTCGAGGCAGCTCGTGCACCGTCCCACGGTTTCGAGGATGCCTCGAGCGAAAGCTTTGCTGTTTTGGCATCTCGACGAATTCGCGAGATCCCTGGAGATCTCCTCGAGTCGCAGCCCGGGAGGAGACTGCTCCCAACGATGCTCGCTGGCACGGCGTGAAAACATGGGCGTTGGACCGTGGCGCCGCGCAGAGCGTTCCAACTCGAGCGGTCTCCACTTCCTAGTCACGATGAAGACCGCTGAGCGGTGAAGCATGGCCTGGTTCAGGCCGCTGGTGACCATCGCCCATGAAGTCCAGCGCGGGCGTCGCTGCGGCATCCACGCGGCGCGAACCAGAGGTCAGGAACTTGTGCCTGGCGTGTCGCGGCGGCGGCCCCGGCGACACGCTATCCTCTGCGAGCGGAATCGCAGCGCGTCGCTCCGCTCCGCGGGGAGGGGGGCTGGGAAAAGCTCGGGACGTTGACGCTCGGGGACTGGGGCGTGGGTAGCGTGGCGCGCCGAAGCGCGGTGGGACAGAGCAGGCGGCGCGCCACGCTGAGCCAGAGCTTCGACCGTATGCGGCATGCTCGCTGACACACCCGCGGCGGCATTGGGGCGGAAGCCTCTCGGATGACTGTCGCGGTCTGCGTGGTTGCCGTGGTAATCGATGTCGTCTTGGAAGCATTTTGTTGCTCCGCTGCTCCGAGGCCGATCTATCACCGAGAGCGCGCGCTCAGGCGCAGGGTCGTCGAACAACCCCCCTCGAATGCCTCGGCCGCTCTGACATAGCTCGCGGATGGAGAAGCCGGGATCGATCGCGACCATTACGCCGCCCACTTGTGGCAGATACGGGTGCATCGCGGAGAGAAAGAAAACGATAGCCACGACCAAGACCTCGCGCGGAAACGCCGGCGCCGAGCCTGGCCATCGTCCACCTCGGTCATCGTCGATTCGCGGGTCACCCTTGCGAATCGGCGACGGCTGGCATGGACCCTGGCCATGTCTGGCGTCGACAAGATCTCCCGAGACATCCTGGCCATGGGCATCGCGGCTTCTTCCACGAGCATCGCGAGCATCGGGCCGAGCCCGGGTGCCTCCGGAGGCCCTCTGGAGGTCCGCGGGAAGGCCTCTGCAGAGGCCTGCAGGGGCCCTCTCCTGTCCAGCAGCACCGGTCCTCGATCCTCCTCCTCGCTCCTCGGCGGGGGAGAAGGAGGAGGAGGAGGAGGAGGAGGAGGAGGAGGAGGAGGAGCAGGAGGAGGAGCGAGGAGGAGGGACAGTGGTAGGAGGCGCAGCAGAAGCAGGACCCTGGATGCTCGACCCTCGGTCTTCGGCCCTCCCTCCTCGGGAAGCGAAGACGGGGCGAGCTGCCGGGCGCAGGCAGCGGCAGGGTGGAAGCCGCCGGGGCACGGCGGTTGCACCTGCCGCCTCCGTGGCGCTCTGGCACGGGAGCCGCCGCTCACTGCTACAGGCGATCTCTCCTCTCCTCTCCTCCTCCTCCTCCTCCTCCTCCTCCTCCTCCTCCTCCTCCCTCCTCCTCCTCCTCTCCTCCTCCTCGTCCTCCTCCTCCTCGTCCTCCTCCTGTTCCTCCTCCTGCTCCTTCTCCTGCTGCTCCTCCTCCTCCTCCATTCCTTCTCCTTATAAACAACTTCGCCCTATCGCAAGGCGGGCCAGTGTTTAGGGCGGTCCAGGCGTTTCGCCTGAGACTTCCTCACCATTTATGACTCTGAAGCTTACACATGGGCCACTGGTTCACAGATGGAGGGCGGGTCGGTTTCAAAATGTGGCTCTCGCCTTTGCGCCGCGCACATTCGTTTTCAAACTTTGCAACAGTTTCACGGAATGAGGGCGGGTGGTTTTCAACATGTGGTTCTGGCCTGAGCGCCGCGCGCATTCGTTTTTTAGAATTGCAAGAATTTAACGGCTTGAGAGCGGGTGGTTTTCAAAACGTGGCTGTCGCCATAACGCCGCGCACATTCGTTTTCAAAATTTGCGAACGTTTCACGGATTGAGGGCGGCTCCTTTTCAAGATGTGGCTCTCGCCTTAGCGCCTTGACAAGTTGCAAGAGTTTCACGGGTTCTCATTATCGACGTACCAGGCATGATGTTTTGAAAGGATTCGCGATTCTGATGGCGCAACAGTTACGATGATTCGCGGTGCTGGAGTCCCAGGAACGGCGTTCTGGTGCGATTCAGGATCGTCAGGACGCAGCAGTCATGTTTATCCGTGGAGTTGGAATACAGGGAGCAATGGTTTGGCATGCTTCAGGGTCTTCATACAGTTCTCTTCCAACGATGCAGGTCCCTCTGTGGAAATGAACCGTTGCAGGGGCTATGAAGCGGGAGCTTGGGGGGAGGGCTTATTCCAACATCGTTGGTGACTCTTGGGTTTACACTGGTCCTCCTCCTCCTACTCCTTCTCCCTCTGTCCTTCTCCTCCACCACCTTTTCTCCATCTTCCTCGTCGGCGAAGAGGATCAATGATCGAGTATCGGAATGTGTCGGGTGTTATTGCATATCTTTTCGCTTCTGAGGATCCTGGGGGACAGCCTGAACGGAAGATGACGGGATGGACTCGACGCCAGCGCGGGGAACGAGGGGACAGCGATGAGGATCAGGAAGGCTAGGAGGAAGACAGACATAGGCACGACAAGAACGAAACGGATGCATAGGAAGAGGACGCGCACGAGGAGGAGGAGGACGACAAGATCGGCAGTGAGCGGCGGCGTGGCAAGGAGGGCAACGGGGAGGACACAGGATAAGGACGAGGCTGTCGAGAAGGAAGAGGGGGGGGGGGGAGGAGGAGGGGGAGGGGGAGGAGGAAGACAACGACGACTAGGACGAGGCGGGAGAGGACGAGGACGACGGGGTGGGCGACAAGGAGAAGGAAGAAGTGAAGGACAGAGTGGAGGGCAATGAGGAGAACGCTCAAGATGACTAGGATGAGGAGGAGGAGGAGGAGGAGGAGGAGGACGAACAGAAAAGAGAAGGGGATCACGAGGATACGGACGTGTAAGTAATGAGGGCCACTGGTGCTCGTCGGGGCTACGATGGGGACTACTCTGAGCGTCTGAGGCCGTCTTCGAGCCTGCGTGGGGCTTATTGGCAGCCGCTTGGGCGCTTCTCGGGAGCCTGTCGGAGTCCTCTGGCGACGTGTCTTGTGGAGCTTCAGGACTGGGCCGTCTTGGACTCTCTTGGACCGTCTTGGGACCTCCTGAAATCTTCTTGGGGAGCCGCTTTGGGCTCCTCTTGGGACGCTCTTGGGTTCTTTGGGGGGCCGTTTTGGAACTCTCTGGGCAATTCTGTAGCCTTCCAGGCGCGATTCCAAGACGATGCTGGTTCAGGCCCCCCTCCGAAATCGATGTCTGGATGATGCCTCGAAACGGAACTATCATGATTGATTGACGCGATCAGGCAAGAATGGGAAGCGCCGATGGCGTACACTGGGTTCGTCAAGCTTCTCCGTCGTGTCGGTCCGCCGCGCTGGGCGCACGCCGCGCGAAGGCCTCCCGTGAGCCAGCGCACTTGAGCCAAACTGGCTACGGAAGGCCGGCCGTGCTGGTGTGCCGCAGCGCTGTGGGCTGCCGTGCTCGTCCGCCGTGCTGCTCTGGTCTGCCACGTCGGTTGGCTGGTGCTGCCGCGGTCTGCTCGAAGCTGACGCTGCGGAGGAAGAGGAGTAGGAGGAGGAGGAGGAGGAGGAGGAGGAGGAGGAAGAGGAGGAAGAGGAGAAGGAGGAGGAGGAGGAGGAGGAGGAGGAGGAGGAGGAGGAGGAGGAGGTGTAGGAGGAGACCGAGAAAGAGCCAGAGAGGGAGAGGAAAGAGAGGAGGGCAGGCCACCCTCGGCCACAGCCCGGGGCCGCCGAGGCCCCACCCACCCGCGGGGGCCCCGCGGGGGAGGGGCCCGAGCCTCGGAGCCCCACGGGGCCACGGGGCCCGGGGGCCCCAGCCCTCCAGGCCGGGCCGAGGGGCGGCGGGAGAGGGGGGGGCACACGCCGTCGGGCAACGCCGACGGGGCCGATGCCCGCGCCATCCCGAGCCTCCGCCCCACAGGGGGTCGCCGACCCAGAGGATCTACGCAGCTTAAAATAAGCGTGACATGATCTACACGGCTTAGAAGAATCGTGGCATGGCACGGGGTCGCCGAAAGGCATGACGAACCCCCCTCGCGGCAGGCGGGGGCACAAAGTGCAGAGCACATACATACGCTGCAGGAGGCCACGCTCCCGCAGCCCGACAGGCGGGGGCACAAGCTGCAGAGCACACACGACCACAGGAGGCCACGCCCGCAGCCACCACGAGCCTCCCAGGCCCACGTGGGCGCCGCTGCGGTCTGCCGTGCTGGTCCGCAGGTTGCGGTGATCTGTCGTGCTGGTCTGCCGTGCTGCCGCGGTCTGCCGTGCTCCTGTGAGCTGCCGTGCTGGCCTGCCGTGCTGCGATGGCCTGCCGTGCGCTTCTGCCGTGCGGTCTGATGCGTCGCGCGCTTGCGTGCGTGCGTGCGCATGGCCGTGTGTGCGCGTGTGCTGTATGTCGTGCGCTGTGGCACGTTGTGTGTTGCGTGCGCGCGTGTTGTATAGGGTGCTTTGTGCGGGTGTGTTGTGCGTGTTGCGCGCCTACTACTTTTTGTGTGGGTTGTAGCGTACAAGGGCCGTCCTGATTGTTCCTTGCGCTGACAAGATGCATTGGAGAAGCTCGTCCTAACAAAGGTCCTCCAAGACTACGTGTTTCGAACATGTCTCCAACGAGTCGCACGCACGCTTGGGAAACCGCGTTGTAGCATAGCTCATCAAATATCTGAGGGTTTGAAGATGTATAGGGCGAAACACTTACTCGCACAGGAAAGTGCGAAATCCGCCGACCCTGTCGACGTGTGTGCGGGGCTTGTCCGTTCGAGTCGTCCGCTTCGTCATTCGTTAGTCGTCGTTTCTGCCGGCTTCTTTCCCTGCGGCCCCCACTTCCCTGGGCCCGTCGCCGCTCCCACCCTTTTCCTGGGCCTTCCTCCCCGGTCGCGCCAGCCAAAGCGGAATTGCGTAGCGCCGAAACTCAATCGAAGGGAAGCCCCATCTCTCGGATCCCTCCCCGGTCGGGCGGGAGGGGGTCCCCGGGAGGGGTCCCCGGAGGAGATACGCCCGGGTCCCGGGGGGCGGTCGCCACCCAGATACGCCTCCCTTCCGGGGTGTTCCCGGTCCCACGAAAGCTCCAGGACGGGCCAAAAGTGCCCGAAGAGGCCCCCAAGACGGTCCAAGAGGGCCCCGCATCGCCGAACGGTCTGCCCAAGACGCGTTCATTGCCTCCTGAACGCCCACGGGGCCTGCAAAACGCCCCAAGAGGCCTCCAGGAGCACTCCCAATAAGGCCCTAAGAGGCAACATTCATTAATCTCCCGTAAGTTTTTGAAGGATTTGGAGTTCTCGCCTCTTCCGCCTCCCGACGCTCCAAGACGGCCCAAGAAGCCCCCAAGATCGGACGGCACAAAGTCCTCCAACAGGTTCCCAACATGGCACCAGAGGGTCCCAAGATGGCCCGAGACAGGCCACGAGGCACACAAGAGGGTGCCCAGACGGGGGACCCGAACTGACGTCTCGAGCCCTCGCCCCCGAGAAGCTTTCAGAAGGCCCCAAGAGGCCTCGAGTACATACGCCCCCATCAAGCCTCTGGAGGCCCCCAAGAGGCTCCCGAGAGGCCCCCCAAGAGTCTCCCCAAACGCCCCCACCAGAGGCCCCCGAAAGCGTTCCGCGTTCTTGAAAGACCCCAACGAGCATCCACTCCCCCGTCTGCTCCTCACCCTCCTCCTCCTCCTCCTCCTCCTCCTCCTCCTCCTGCTCCTCCGCCTCGTCTTCATCGTCCTCCTCCACCTGCTCATCGCCCTTCTCGACCCACTCCTGCCTCAACTACCCCTCCTCATCCTCCTCCGCATGCTCGTCCTCATCCTCCCCCTCCTGATCCACGGGGTCCTCCTCCTCCACCTCCTCCTCCTCCTCCTCCACCTCCTCCTCCTCCCTCTCCTCCCCCTCCTGCTGTTCCACTGCGTCGTCCGCCTCCTCTCCCTCTTCCTCTTCCTCCTCCTCCTCCTCCTCCTCCTCCTCCTCCTCCTCCTCCTCCTCCCGTATCTCCTCCTTCTCCCGTTCCTCGTCCTCGTCCTCCTCCTCCTCCTCCTTCTCCTCAACATCATCGACGTCATCAGGGTCGGCGGCGCCAACCGCAAGGCTTCACAATACCACAGCCCATCCAACATTTCATGGTTTTGGGATGCCTCAAGAGAGACGCTGTTTCCCCATATGGCGATGTTGAGAATATCCCGTGTTGTTGGGGATGCCTCGAAGGAAACAACTCTAATAAGGAGCCGATTCAGACAAGAACGTGAAAGTCCGCTGCTCTGGACTTGCGTGCGCGCGCAGGGGTTTGAATCCGGAACGACATTGAAACAGATGGTGTACCGCAGCATGGGCCCCCACAAACTTCTAGATGGTTGCCATTCGTCGCCTGTGTGGAGTGGTTGCCTGTCGTTGTCTTGGTTGGGTGCTGCGTGCTGCGCGTGGTGTGTGCGTGTGCGTGTGTGTGAGAGTGTGTGCGCGTGTGTGCAGATATGCGCGCGTGTGTGTGATTGTGTGGCGTAGGTGTGTGTGTGTGCTGTGTGTTGTGAGCGCTGTGCGTTGTGTTGTGCTGTGTTGTGTGTGTTGTGTGTGTGTTGTGTGTGTGTTGTGTGTGAGTGTTGTGTGTGTGTCTGTGTGTTGTGTCTGTGTCTGCTTGGTCCTTTTCTTTGCCGCCGGCCTGGTGGGCCTCCACATCCCCACTGCCGATGACCCGCGGCCTGCCGCTGCCCCTGCCTTGCCCCGCCAGCCCCTGCCGCCCGGCGCCCGCGCAGGCTGCCGCCCCGCGCCGCCCGACGCCGCCACGATGCCTGCCCGATGCCCGCCGCCCTTGCGCCGCTCCCGGCCACTGCCCCGCGAGAGGGCAGCCGACTGCTCCTTTTCTTCAATCCCTTCGGCCGCTAGGTTTTGGCGCGGTTCTCCGCGCGCGGGCTGGACGGTGAGGAGGTGCTCCCGCACGCGACGACCGAGAAGCGTGTGCGCGCGTGTGTGTGTGTGCGTGTGTGTGTATGTGTCTCTGTGTGTGTGCGTGTGCGTGTGCGTGCGTGTGCGTGTGCGTGTGCGTGTGCGTGTGTGTGTGTGTGTGTGTGTGTGAGTGTGTGAGTGTGTGGGTGTGTGAGTGTGTGCGTGTGTGCGTGCGTGCGTGCGTGCGTGCGTGCGTGCGTGTGCGTGCGTGCGTGTGTGTGTGTGTATGTGTGTGTGTGTGTGTGCGTGCGTGCGTGCGTGCGTGCGTGCGTGCGTGCGTGTGCGTGTGCGTGTGTGTGTGGTGGGTGGGTGTGTGTGTGTGTGTGTGTGTGTGTGTGTGTGTGTGTGTGTGTGTGTGTGTGTGTGTGTGTGTGTGTGTGTGTGTGTGTGTGTGTGTGTGTGTGTGTGTCGTGCGTGCGTGTGTGCGTGCGTGCGTGCGTTTGCGTGGCGGCGTCTGCGCCTCGCCAGGCCCGTGCGCTGGGCCCTCGAGCGACGTCCGTCGCCTGCCGAGCCCGAAAGGAGCCGAGCCGCGGGCAGCGCCCCCGCGCGCTCCCCAGGGCGGCGGCGCCGTGGCCCTCTCGAGGCCGCGCCCCACCCTAGGCCCCTCAGCCTGCTGCCAAGGGGGGCCGAAAAGCAGCGAGAAACGCGCCGCGCCCAGGCCACCCGCAGCGCGGGGAAGCAGGCCCGAGCGCCCCGAGCGGGGCGGCAGCCCCGCCCAGGCCCCTCAGCTCACGGATAACACCGCGCCAAGGGGGGCCGCACGCACTGAGACCAGACAGATCATTGAACGAGCACAACGGCCTCAACGCAGATCCCTTCCAGTCTTTGGGTCCTGGCCGCGCTGGATGCGGCGAAAGCGCCTGAGGCGCTCCTTGTCGCCTGGGTCGCGCGGGTCCAGCCGCCTGCACGGCCCGCCGAGGTTCCTGGCCACCGAGCTGTAGTAGGAACCACACACGACGCAGACCACGAAATTGCCAATGATCTCGACCGTATGTGGCCGAGGCTCCGATGAAGCGGCTCTGGCCGTCTCAGGCAGCGCCTGGCCACTCCTGGCGGGCTGGGCAGAGGCCGCCCGCCCGCGCGCACCCCGCTCTGGCTCCGAGGCCGCCGCAGCCCCAGCCAAAGGCGGCGGGGAACCCGCCAGCGGCGCCAGGCCGCCCTGGCCAGAGCCCGCCGCCGCCGCCGAGGATGCTGAGGAACCAGTCCTTGGGGCCTTACCACCGTGTTTCAGGCTGCCCTGGCCAGCACGAGCTTGGTGTGCCGCCAAGGGGGCGGAGCACACAGCGGCCGCTGCCTGGGTGGCAGCCTTGCCGTCCACGTCCAGGGAGCTGGCCAACTCGCACTGATCAGCTCCAGGCTCGCCAGCGGGTTGAGCAGCAGGCGGCACCGTGGGAACAGGAGCTGCCCCAGCGCCAGCCGTAGCACCGTCGTCCACGTCCTGGGAACAGGTGGCTGCCGCACTGCGGATCCGCAAAACACCCTCCCGCCTCGCCCCTCCCGCTGGAGCTCCCTCCTCCTGTGGCTGGAGTGCCCTGGGGGCGAGGTCGGGATTGGGCGACGACTCGCGCTCTGACGCCTGGGTGCCTGTGGCCTGCGTGGCCCTGCCGTCTGCCTCCACCACCCCGAGGTCGCTGTGCACGCTGAGGGCCGCGAACTCGTCGGCATCGTCGTAGCCATGGGCGTCCTCGGCGGCGCGGCCTGCCGCATCACCTCCTTGGTCGTCATCCGAGGAGAGGGGCTCGAAGACCCACTGGTGCCACGAGGCCGTCTCAGGCGGGGCACGATCTCCAAGAAGACTCCTGAAACGCTCCCTGACCTGGTTCAACACATCGAAGTGATGCCGAAGCAGCCGACGGCGCTGCCTGGCTGTCAAACCCGAGTCAGGCCGTACCCTGGCGAACTGAGCCTGACGGGCTGGTTCGGCACGCGTCCACGAGGTGGCGCATAGGTCGTCGACGACCTGCCCGAGAGTGCGGCCAGGGTTGCTACGCAGAAGATGCTCTCGAACTGGCGCCCAAGCCTCCGAGCTGAGAAACCTTTCAAGATATTCCGAACACCACGTACGGTAGTCCCACTCGTTGGTGAAGCCTGCCACGTCGAAACGATCGGTCCAGAAAGACGCCCAGATGATGGCATCGTCCATGATGGAACGGACATGCTGCTGTTCGGGCGTGATGTGTGACTGGCTTGGCGGGGTTCCCATGCACACAGGGCCGTCAGGTATCCGCTCCATCCTGCCAAGAGCCGCGCGGGCTGCTGCAACAGGAGCCCACAGCGGGTCGGGGCCCAGCTGGGAGGCAGGCGCAGGGTCGGGCTCTACTCGAGGCTCACCCTGATCTCCATGGTCTGCTCGCTGTCGCACAGGCCGAGCGGCGGCGCCTGCCGCCACGAGAAGAGGCACCGCCACACTGCCTCTCTTGGCCGCACCCTTGACTAACTTGCCCTGGAGCCCTTGGAGACGACCACGACACTCCTGCAACTGAAAGGTCGCGAGGCGAGTGCGGGCAACCTTGCCGCAGTTGGTGCACTTGGAATAACCGCGGCACACTTCCAGAACGTGCGGGTGCCTGGGACCAGCCTGGGGTCGTGCAGCCTGAGGAGCGTCGGCCTCTTGGCCCTGCTGTCGTTTGGGCCGAGGCTCCGCCAACCTGACCCCGTCGAGGAGGACCCTGAAGTGCCCGATGTACTCTAGCACGCGCTTGGTGGCCTTGAGCTCCTGCTTGACCTGCAACGTGGCCCACTCTGGCGGCGCGCTGAGGTCTGCTCCTTGCTTGGCCCATTCGTCGGCTAAGTCATTGTGCCTCATGTGAATTTGGACCTCCTCTGGCAGCGCTAGACGTTTGACCTGCGATATGTGCGAGGCGACTTTGATGACCGACAACTCTCTGCCAGGAAGGATGTCCATGTCATCCAGGCGATCCCAGATCTCGAGCCAGACGTGCGCATAGGGCCTGGCCGCTGAACAACACCATGCCCTGCCACGGGCCAGGCCTTGGACCACCTGAGCATTGTCAATGATGATGGCCGTGATGAAGACCGAATGCCTGAGGGCGTGGAGGAGACCCCACAACTCTGCCAGGACCGAGCTGGGGTCGGGAAAGGGCAGTGGGCCGTACAGGCCCTGCACCACGTCGTCGGCCTCCGCTGTGCACTGCAAAGCCGCCCAGCCGCCGTGCCTGAGGTCATCCAGGCCTTTGACTGATCCGTCCGAAACCAGCACATCGGTGAGCTCGGGGGCCGCGCCATTGACGATCCAATGGGTGCGCTGCGACGGTAGGCTCCAAGCCAAGCCGTAACATGGGGTTCGCCGCAAACCCCGCTCCCACAACCATCTTGAGGCTTCCGGCGAGGAGGCCGACAAGCCCAGGTGGCCGACGTCTCTGAAGGTAGGTGTCGAGTCGTGGGCCGTCAGCTGCTCCCTCACCGTAGCACACGTCGGGCTGCCGCACCGCCAGTAATAGTGCTGGTGGGTGCCGAAACAGGTCGTGTCGTCGCAAAGCTGGCAATGCGGAGCGTCCGCCTGGCCCGAAGAGAAAAGGGCCTCCTGCGAAGGGAAACCGCCCAACACCGCCTTCTTGACCGCGTCGGCATGGTGTTGCAGCCACCCGTCCTGCTTGCGCCGCTTGACCAACTGCCTCGCTGGGGTGAGCCACGGCGCTGGCAGGAGCGCAGCCCGCTCGGGCTGAGCCGCAGCCCACTGGCACAGGGCTCTGGAACGGGCTGCCAAAAGCACGGCTGCCTCGACCGACTTGGGGCAAATCTGCAGTAGATCAAGATGGACATCCCCTCCTTGGAGCACCCCGCCTCGTGGAGGCAAGACAATCTCGAAGGCCGACGGCATGCTCCAACCATGGGCTCGGACTGTGACTGAGGTGGCCCGTGGCCCCCGCTGGGCCGCGCACCATTGACCACAACTCCTGAGCGTCGGCGTCCATGTACAGCGCGAGCTGTTGCTGCACTCGGGCCCATGCTGTGGCCTGCGCACGCCGCCCCTCCGGGTGGTCCCACGCTTCCCTCGCCCAAGCCAGCAGCGGTGCCGGAACGAGGGTGTCGGCGCAACTGGGGTCGAGGCCGTCGTGCAAGACTCGGGAGGTAAAAGCTGTGGCGCCCCTGCGGACGGCCCGATCCTTCTGCTGGATAAAACGCACGATGGGCCTGGGCGTGCCGCGGACACGGGCGCCGTAGGCGACCGAGGCTCCGAGGCCCTGCCGCACGACCATCTTGAGCTTGCCTCCGCGTGCACGAGGAAGGCCGCGGATCTTAGGCCAACGCTGCTTGGCTATCTTAAGCCGCGCGTGTCTGACTGGGGCTGACTGGTTCTCTGTCTTGACGCTGGGACCGTAGTCGATGCCGAGCCACCGCTCGGAGGTGTTGGGCGGTACTCCAAGGACGGCCATGGCCTGCGTCAAGCCTGAAGACGGAGTGGCCGTTTGCAGGAAAGAGCACTTGCCTCTCGCCCCGTCCCGCGCTCGGGCTACCTCCAGGCCCAAGAAGGACTCCAGCATCCAAAACAGCAAGCGCGTGGCCTGCGGCAGCATGTGCAAGACGCGCGCCTCGGTGGACATGACCCGCAGGGCGATGTCATCAACGTACAAGTAGATCGTGGGGCGGAAAACCCCCAGCAGGCCGTCTAAGCACAGCGTGAGGTAGAACCTCAGGAAGGTGGGCGCAAAACGGCTGCCCGCTGGGAGCGCTGTGGAGGACAGGACCTCCGCCGAGCAGGCCTCCCCGAGACGAATGACACGGCCAAAGGCGAAACTCTCCAGGGCGAGCGCGACCACCTCCAGCGGGCCGTCCCACCAAGCTGCTAGCCACCACATACGCTCATGCGGAACCTTCTCATAACACTTGGCGAGGTCCGCCAGCATCGTGGCCGCGCGTATGCCTGTGCCCAACACGAGCTCGTCGTCCAACAAGGCTTTCCACAGCGCACGCTCCGATGATTGGCCCGCCGCCGTGTAGTCGTAGCTCCTGGGGTGCGCCGCCAACCAGCTCCTGATGGTGGGCAGCTGCCACGCCTCCCAGATGCGGCAAGGGCCGGGTAGAAGAATGATGGGTCGGCCCCCTCCATCGAGCTTCCCGATGATGAAAACGAGCAGGAGGTGGACCTGGGACGGCCACCGCCCCAGTTGTTGGCACCAGGCCAGCAATGACGCGAGCACCGATAGCGTGCCGTCCGTGAGGTAGGCCCAAAGCTTGGGTTGCCATCCGTCCACGCCGATCCCCGTCTTGGCCCTGAAACGCGGGGCCAAACCGCGCAGGTGGTGAGGGCTGGGCGGCGTGACGGCGACTTGCTGGAGGCCCCTCCACGGCTTGGGGAAACCTGAGCCAGTGGTCCAGACCTTCGACCAGTCGTGCAACTCCTGGTCCACGGCGGCCTGAGGCGCCGCTGGGAGCAGCTTCTTGGAGATACTGCCCTTGGGAGCCTGCCAAGCCTGGCGCCACTTGGTGACCCTGTGGAGGAGCCCCTGCGAGCCTGGGAAGTCGTCCTCTAACCGCTGCTTGAAGGAATCTCGACGTTCCTTGCCGATCTGCCACTCCAAGTACGAGGCATACTGGCTGCAGCTGAGGCGCCAAGCCGAGAGCTCCTGCAAGTCTTCATAGCCGCGGTCCCGAGACGTGAAAACCTCGAAGAACTCCTGCAGCTCAGCCACGCCTTCTAATAGCATGTGGTGCCTGAAGCGGTCACGCAACTTGCGGATGGAGGCGTGCCGCTGCTGGTGCAACGTGGTGAGGGCCAGGTCGGAAGCGCCCGTGTAGCTGAAAAGCTTTACTTCAATGATGCCCAGCCAAGCCAACTCGTTGGCAAACCACCTCCAACGCTTGGCCTCCCCGTACGAAGCGATGGCCTCGGTGTGGGTCGGGAGCAACGGGCACCTCCTGAAGCGCGGTGGTCCCCCACGACCTCGGCATTGATCGGCTTGCCTACTGCTGGGGTCCAAGCCCACCTTCTGGATCAGCTCCTCCTCGGCGGCGTGGCAGAAAGCCTCCCAGGTGTCGTCCAGGAGCTCCTGGGTAGGCACCGCATCGGGGTCGAAACCTGCAGGCACGTCTGGGCACGAGAGATCGAAGTGCCTCGGCTTGACTCCTGGGATCGGGAACTTGTGGGGTCGGATGAGCTTGGTGTAGGTAAAGGCCGACCAAGGCTGCTGAAACTCGACCCATGTGGCTCTATGAGGGTGGTAGACCGCGTCGTCGTCAATGCGGGCTGGGGAAATATTGGCAGCCAAACTGGAGTGCATCCAGAAATAATCGATCACGCGCTCACCGTGCGGGGAGCGGTTGGTGCCCCCTTCCCCTTGCCACGCTACGACGCGGCCTCTGAGCTGGTTGTTCCACGGCGAACGCTCCAAAGCATCAGGTAGATTCTCCCAGTCCGCGATGACGATCCAGGGCAGCTGGAGCTTGACTGCCCACCCCGTGATAACTGACAGGAGAGCTGAATTGCCCACAGACGCCAACTTCTGACCAGTGAAGCAATACGCACAGAAAACCAATAACTTGCCGATGCCCTTGGCCTCGAGGGTGGCCATCAGGAGCCTGCCTGCACAACCTGGGGGAGATATGTCCCAGTGTCGCTGTCCAGATGCAAGAGTGACGCCGACACAGGCAGGTATCGCCAGCAAGACGCCCGCCGAGGCCCCTCCATTCGGGCCGTCCGTCGCTGGCGTGGGCAGGGCCCTCCAGCCCAAGGGCAGCAAGGCCCGTGCGCTCTCTTCGGCCCATAAACGCCGCTTGCCGTGCTCCTGGAAACCGATGATCGGAATCTTGCCCTCGGTGAGCTGCTGGTGTGCCGCGCCGTGGAGGTAGCCCACAACATTGCCCCAGCTGAGGCTGGCATTGACGCTGTGGAAGGTGAAGCGCCTGTGGCTCCGCTGTCGACGCTTGCCTCTGCGGGCTCCTGCTGCTGAGGGTCGATACTTGGCGGCGTCGCACTGGGGCTTTGCCGATGTCCCGCTGCAGGTGGACTGGCCGCCAACACTGCCGACACTGACGTCCCCGCCCTCGGTAGGGTGTGCCACCGTCTCATGGGCCATCTCGATGATGTTAGGCTGCCCAGGGCCGCAGTGGCATTCCCCAGATGAGACAGCTGAGCCTGCAGAAACAAAAACTGACGTAAGCAACGCCTGACTGCCTCCGTGGGCAGAGCCACCAACACCTGCTGAAACAACTGGGTCCGAGAAACCACCAACTGACGTAAACTGCGCCTGAGGGCCTCCAGCGGCCAAGAAAGCCCCGCCTGTGGGAGCAGCAAAGTCCGAGCAACCCCCAACTGGCGTAAGCTGCTCCTGAGTGCCTCCAACGGCGACAGAGAAACCATCTACAGTTGAGGCATCTGAGCCAGAGAGGCCACGGTCTGACGAAAGCTGCACCTGGGTGCCTCCAGCGGCCAAGAAACCACCATCCGTGGAAACTGCAGAGCCAGAAACACCACTGACTGAAATAAGCTGCGCCTGGGTGCCACCATCGGCGGCCGAGAGACCATCGCCCGTTGAAACAGCTGAGCCAGAGAAACCACCAACTGACGTAAGCTGATCTGGGCTGCCTCCGACGGCAGAGTGACCACCAGCTGAAATACATGGGGCAGCTCCTCGGTGCTCGTCCTTGAGGTTGCACGCGGCTGGGGTGGGAGTGAGCTCGGTGCATTCAACGGGCGAGGCAGAGCAACACAGCGGCTCCTCCGTGGTCCCAGTCGAGGTGGATGGGCCGAGGTCGGCCTCCAGCACCTTCGCGGCGCACAACCTCCAGCAGTGGATGCGGTCGTCGAAGTAGACGGTGGGGGCCTGCGTTCCCGTCGTCGCCTGGGACTGGCGGTCGAACCACCGCTCCGCGGCCGACTGGGCGCGGTCCTGCTGAGCCGCCTCACGCTCGAAAGCACCCTGATTAGCCACTTGCAGATGCTCCAACCACTGCCGCTGGAGGCGCCTGGCCTCCCCTCCACGGTTCCAGGCTTCGTCGCCCAACTCCCGTGCAATCCTCATGCGCTCGGCAATTCGGGATCCGCTGCCCGTGGTGGCTGCCAGGTCGTCCAGCATGGCTGTGTACTCCCCAGAGCCCAGCTGGTGGAAGATGTACGGCACGCAGTAGGAGTCCCAGTGCCTGCGGTCCTGAGCCGTGGTCCCCAGCGACGGGGTAGGGCGCCAGTGCCGAGCCATGCGGCGCATACGCGTGGCCAGGATGGCCCGCTCCCGCCTGCCCAGGCGGACGAGTCTGGCCTCTCGTGGCTTGGCCTCTGGCGGCGCGTCCGGTCCCCAGGACTGGGCCTTACGCATCTGCGTCCCCAGCTGGAACGGCGGCTGCTGCTTCCAAGTCCCGCCTGAGCTGAGCCAACTTGGCTGCGCCATCGGGGCCGCGGAGGCTGGGTGGCTCAGGAGGGTGAGCACCAGGAGGCCCAGCAGGGGCCCCAGGCTGCCCAGGGGTGGGGGCCTGGGCTGGGGCCGCGGCGGCCGCTGGGGCCTCCGCGGGGCCTGCTGTCGCAGGGCCTGCGACTGGCGCCTGGGCTGGGGCCGCGGCGGCCGCTGGGGCCTCCGCGGGGCCTGCTGCCGCTGGGCCTGCGACTGGCGCCTGGGCTGGCAGCTGGTCTGCTGCTCCTGCCGCCTCGGTGCGAGGCCGCTTGCGCCTGGCCAGCAGCTGCTGGTGCTTGGCGTCGATCTCGCTGCGCCTCTGCTCCAGCTGCGTCTTGGCCTCACCGAAGGTGGTGCGCACGTGCTGCTTGACTTGCTCGACGAAGCCCTCCAGGGACTTGTTGAACTCCTCGCGCTCCGTGTCGGTGATGTCCAGGTCTGGGTCGTCCAGCCTGAAGGCGTCGCCTGCCTCGACCTGGAAGTCTTCCGCCAAAAGCGCCGTGACGTTGAGGCCCACGGCAGGCTGAGCCTTGGCGCCAGGCCCCTGCGCCTCCTGCGCCTGCACCTGGACGCCCTTGGGCGCTGCTGCCTTGTAGGCCTCCTCCACCTCCACGTTGCACGCCAGGACGAGCTCACCTGCACGCACCTCCTCCTCGCGGCAGGCCTGGAGCCACTGCTCGGCGTCGTGGACCTGCTGGGACTTGGAGAGGAAGGCGGCTTGAGCCCGACGCTGCTTGGCCTGGGCGCGGTTGAGGGCCACATCTGGCAACACCGTGGCCGCAACGGGCGGTGGTGCGACTGCCATCTTGATGGCCTCGAGCTGCTGGCCGTGCTCGGGATGCCTGGCCGCCAACGCCGCGAGGCACTCTGCATCCGACGGCGGGGCGGGCTGCGGTGGCGGTGCCTCGTACCCGAACCAGTCGTCAGAGTGCCGCACCCACGGCTCGCGAGCGAATGACCACGCCGATGCCCGTAGCTGCGGAGGCTCGTCCACTGCGGCAGGCTTGAGCGGCTTCTTGCAGTTGTAGCACTCCACCCTGGCCCTGAAGTTCCACTTGTACGAGCAGTTCGCACAGCGGACGTAGTCCAGGGGGTTGGCTCCGCTCGCGTTGGTCTTGCCTGCCTTGCCAACTCCTTTGCTCTTGCCCTTGCCGCCGCCGCCCTTGGCCCGCGGCTCAGACCTGGCCCTCTGCGAGGCACTGGACATGGCGAGTGGGCAGCGCACAGCCTACCCCTTGCCAACACACGAAACAAAACTGTCGGGCGGAGAAGCCCTGGCACTGGCCGCGGACTAGCGGTATCCACTCGTTCCCCTGTGGAACAAAACATCTTGAGCCAAAATGGCTACGGGTGTGTGTGTGTGTGTGCGTGTGTGAGCGTGGGTGTGTGTGTGTGTGTGTGTGCGTGTGCGTGTGCGTGCGTGCGTGCGTGCGTGCGTGCAGTGTGTGTGTGTGTGTGTGTGTCTGTGTGTGTGCGTGTGTACGTGTGCGTGTGCGTGTGCGTGTGCGTGTGCGTGTGCGTGTGTGTGTGTGTTTGTGTTTGTGTTTGTGTTTGTGTTTGTGTTTGTGTTTGTGTGTGCGGTATGTGTGTGTGCGGTGTCAGTCGCTTCTTGTCCTCGCTGCGCTTTGCTGTATACATTGCGTTATGTACATCGTTTCCTCTCACAAGCTCCCACATCCTTCTCGTTCGAAGAGGCGTTGTTTTTCTTTTTCGTTTTCAAGTGAAAAGACAAAACAATAACACACCGCAGCCCTAATCTCAGAGGTCTCGCGACCCTTCACTAGGCCTGCCGCGCACGGAGGCCCGCGCGCGCGTACAAGCCGAAACGCACGGGGCGACCACCCTCTGGTGATGAGCTTCGCACCTCTCTGGCCTTGAGACTTGTGGCGAGCCAGAACTGAACGCATACACAAACCAGAAGCTTCAGGGCTCGGGTTCCTCGAACAAGTTGCGAAGCTCAGCACGGGGATGCGCTAAGCAAAAGACGCAATCTCACTCTTTAGTTCTCTTCGTTGTGCCCCTCCGTCTTTGGTCGAAAGGCGAACTCCTCGATCTGACGAGCAGCCTTCGAGCGAGGGCATGGTCGTCGTCGATCGTCTGCCCTGCTTCCTCCTGTCACGTCTTCGCGCGCTCCAGGACAGGCATGGCCTCGACTGCTGAGCGGTGCCGATCTGCTCTGCCAAGACCCAGCGGACGTGCCACCGTGGCTTGGAACGACTCTCTCTTGGGTGCCGGCACGCCTGTCGCGGCCACCGCCTCCGCCGCTGCTTCTTCACCGTGGCAGGTTCGACCTCGCCCATCGTCCCGGTCCGGGCGCGCAGCCTTCTCCTGCAGCGCCGGGCGGAAGTGGCAGAGCACGGCGCGCAGCAGCGCGCCGGGGGCACGTGCTCCGGGGGGTGGCCAGGGCAGTTCGCCTCCTTCTCCTCGGCCTCGGCTCTGGCGGCCTGGCCCTCCCACGCTGCAGGAGTTGAGGGCCCGGTCCATGCTCAACTTCAGCTTGCGCTCGGCCGTCACCTCGAGCACCGCGCTGTTGCCGCGGGCGTTCGAACGGCGCTCGTCCTCGCACGGGAGCACCAGCTTCGACGGCTCCTTCGGCAAAGTACCCTCGTTGCCGCTGAGGTTGGAGGAGGCGGCCGCGCACTCGCAGACGCCCTCGCCCTCGGCCCTCGGCCGCTTGGCTGCCGGCAGCTTACCCGTTCGCGTGGATGCCTCCTCGCATAACAGTCGGCGGAGCGGGTGGGTCAGGTGGGCGCGAGGGAGGCCCGCTGAACGACGATGGCTTTCGAGCAACAGTCGGCGGCGAGCGATGGGGGGGAAGTGGGAGGGAGTAGGCTTTTCCAGAGGGCGGCGGTACTTCTCAGAGCCCCCGTCGCGCCTTATCAGAAGTTGTCCCCGTGCCTTCGGGGCAGGCCCCGGAAACTTCTCGGGAGGCCGGGGGACCTCCGAGCCTTCTCAATGGGCCCGCCCCTTGCTCCCTTCCCCCCTGGGGATCGCCCCCGAACTCCCCCCCCCCTACGTCCATGACCGCCAGGCCACTGGAGGTCCCCCGGAGGCAGCGCGCCCCACGCACGGGAGCGGGTCTGCGCGGAGCACGCGGATCGGGGGGGGGCTCCTTGGGCTGAGGCGATGGATGAGAAGCTATCCGCGGGCACGACGCGAAAGACCAAACCAAGACGATGGTACCATCGGGTGGGGATAGGTCGAGGGTCTCCGAGATCTAGGGCGGCTCGGGAGAATGTTTCGGGTTCGGGAATGCTCCTGAGCGGATGTATCCTCATCCCAGCCCCGCCCAGAAGCTGCTCAGCGGAGCGAAAAGAAAACTAGCTCTCCGAAGTAGCACTCGTGGTCGTGGCTGGCTTGAACCACATGGTCGTCAGGTCACCTGGCGGGGCAGGTCGCTACATCATGAACTCCTGTTGCAATGGAAGGATAGATCGAGAGGGAGAGAGAGCGGAGAGAAAACGATAGATAAACAAAAAAGAACGAGAGAGCGAGAGAGAGAGAGATAAAGAAAAACAGAGAAAGAGAAAGAGAGAGAAAGGGAGAGACAAAGAGAGAGAGAGAGAGCGAGACAGACAGACGGACACACAGACACACAGACAGACAGACAGACAGACAGACAGACAGACAGACAGACAGACAGACAGACAGACAGACGGACAGACAGACGGACGGACAGGAAGACAGACGGACAGGAAGACAGACAGACAGACAGACAGGCAGACAGAGAGCCAGGCGGGCAGACAGACAAACAGCGTGCGACTGGCTTCAACAGGCGAGCCTCGTCAGGGCGGTGTGCAGCCATTGTGAGGCGAAGAGGAGGGCGTGCCAAATGCGAGTGCACATGCCGGCATCAGAATGAACAGAAGCCGAGTCGCCCAGAAGACTCCCCGACGTGTCGTAGCCGCCGAACAGGAGCATGGCTTCGTGGCCGTCCCACGCCCAGTCACCTGCAGAACAGGTATTGCTAGACTGCAAGGTGCCAGGAAAGTAACGGAAGGAACGGCGTCATCGAGAGGCAAAACAACAAGTGGCATGGCAGCGCGCGGCAAGTACGTATCCGAGCGAAGACGGCAAACTGTGAAAACGGATAATGGGCAGGGTCAGAGAGAGAGAGCGTGTGTGTGTGTGTGTGTGTGTGTATAACGAGAAGGGGTAGTCACATACACACAAACATCTATCTATGTGCATGCCTATACGACCACCCTTCGGGTGATGCGGAGGTTGAGGGGTGGGGGGAAATACCAACTGCTGGCAGATGCGATGGGCGTGATGATGACGATGCTGGTGACGCACCCCCCGAGTTAGCGACGACGCGTGATGACGATGTTGCGCTGCGATGTGATGTCACTATCGTCCCACCTTTCAATATCACTCGATCGATCCCACTATCGACGTCACAGAATCGATCACTCGATCGATCCCCCCATTAGATCTCACGATCGATTTCACTACAGATCTCACTATAGATCTGGCTGTCGATATCATTAACGATCTCACCGTCGATCCCACTACCGATCTCACAACCATTGTCACAATCAACCTCACTGTCGATCTCAGTTTTGATCTCACTACCCATCCCAGCCTAGCGATCTCATTATCGATCTTACTGTCGCCTTTACTATCGGTACCAAGGCGGGACACCCCGGGCCACCGCCCACCCACCGCCGACGGAACACCGACGGGAAACCAACGGAACACCAACGGGACACCGCAGGACACCACGGCGGGACACCCCTGGCCACCGCGCGCCCACCGGGGGCGGAGGGGCGGTTCACTGCATCCGAATCGCCCTAGCGACGACGGGGTCGTTCCTCTCGGGTCGGGCGAAAGGGGGGGACAGCAAAGGGGGGGCTTGAGAATCAGCTCACGTAGCTACTTTTCCTGGCGCCTCCCAGCGCCAGAGGCGGCCATGTATCGAGGAATGGGCCCCTCGGTGAATTGAGCAGGGACCGACCGTCCCAGCATTCCTATAGTCATACCACGAAGCGTTCTTAGAACCCAAAAATGTTCTAAGAACCAAAACAGCGTTCTTAGAACAGAAACCCGATGAGTTAAAACAAGACAGACTCCACCAGAAATATTCTAAGAACATCTCGTGGAAACCACAATAGGTTCTTAGAACATTGTTTGGTAGGGCTATAGGCGAGCCAGGACGCTTCGCCGCTGCTTGAGTGAAGCCGAAACCAGCTGCATGCAGCAAATTTCGTGCCCCCCCCTTTCCCAATCCCCCCCTTGCGCCCGGCCCGATCCTGTCTCGCGGCGCCCACGCAGCTGTGCCCCTCCAGCACGGCACGGGCACGGACACGAAAACACGAGACCCACTTCCTGGGGGGGGGTGGGGGAGGGGCTCTCCGCTCCACGGCGGTCACACCCCCCAACCTCCGATAGATAGGTGCACAGAGGCCCAGATGTACAGAAAGAGAGAGGGGTGAATGGAGATAGGGAGCCGCATGCGAACCCTACCCCTACCCCCCACGATCTTTAAAGGGGGGGGTCACTTCGCTCGGGAGCTCCCGAAAGAAGTGAAGCCCACCCTCCCCCTCGGAAATCGTGGGGGGTATGGGGTAGGCTTCGCATGCGGCCCCCTAAGAGAGGGACGAAGCGAGAGCGAAGAGACCAAGAGAGTGAGAGAGAGAGAGAGACGGAAAGAGAGAGACCGAGAGAGGCAGCAGAAGAGAGAGAGAGAGAGAGAAAGAAACAGACACACAGACGGACAGACGGACAGACACATAGCCGGTCGAACAGACAGGCAGGGGCACAGACGGAGTCAGGCACGTAGGGAGAAGAGAGACAGAGAGAGAGGCAGGGACACGTGGAAGCGAAGATGTATGTACACGACGAGGCGATTCCTTTACGTGAAAGAGCTATCCGCCAGCTCTGCCCCCAAACAGAAGACGGCGGAGCACAAGTGCAGCAACGACGGGAAAGCACGCAGTCTGGCGATCTGCCCCGATCATCCTCCGGCCCCTCCACACAGACGGGGCCCGGCCTGTGGTCTCGTACGCGCCCTCGTACCAGACAGCGGCATGCTCGTCCGAGGCCGCGATCGTGCCCGTGTACGAGATCTCCTCCCAGACGTGGCTCGCGAGAGTGAAGCCGTACAGGGTGCTCGTCGCCACGTCGTCGCTGCCCACGCCTGCCGGCGGAGGCCCCCGCGGCCGCGGGGAGCCCTTCGAGAGCGAGCGCGCGGACGCACGCCGCCCCTACACCCCGCGTCCCGGGGAGGAGGAGGAGGAGGAGGAGGAGGCGGAGGAGGAGGAGGAGGCGGAGGAGGAGGAGAAGGAGGCGGAGGCCTCTTCCGCCTCCTGCTCCTCCCACCCCCCTCCACTGCGCTCCACCCGCCCGTCACTGCACCTCCCCGCTCCACCTCCTCCCGCTCCGCCGCCCTCCCCTGCCTCAGCCTCTCCTCCGACCGGATCTCCTTTTCATCGTCCTTCTCCGTCATGGTCCCTCCACCTCCGCCGAACCTCCGAGCTACTCTCCTCCTCCTCCTCCTCCTCCTCCTCCTCCTCCTCCTCCTCCCCCTCCTCCTCCTCTCCCCCTCTCCCTGCTCCTCCTCCTCCTCCATCCAGGAGGGGGGAGGACGAGGATCAGCGGGGGGGGAGGGCAGAAGGAGGAGAAGGATGAGGAGGAAGAGACAGAGGAAGAGGAGCTCATCATTTGTCCCGCCGCGACGCTGGATCATACCACTGGGCTTGTCGGAAAACTTAGAGCTCCTCTGACTCGGACCCGCTTCCAGCGGCAATGGCCACACCGCCACCGCGGCCGACCCCGACAGCGCCGCCACCGCTGGGAGACCTGCCTGAGCCGCTGCTTCCTTTGTGGGGCGCCTTCCAATCAGGGTGGCGAATCAGCAAGCGCAGCAGGACACGCTCCCCGCGATCGGCCATGCCCGCCCCGGCGCCAACCGCACGCCGAAAGTATCAGAATTCACATCAGCTGTCTGGTGGGGCTTCGGCGATCTTCTCGATGGTACGCCCCAGATTCCAGGGACTGGAAAAACGGAAAAAAAGTCGCGGCCTTACGTGGGACGCACGAGACATATTAGAACTATATGCTTTCCTTGGAGACGCGCGTCCGACCCGAACATGTAGTATACCCTTCTGGTACTACCTATACGACCACCCTTCGGGTGACAAGGAGGTTCGGGGGGGGAGGAACCAACGTCTCACCCGATCGGTCTCACAATCGATATGACTATCGATCTCACTATCGGTCTCGCTCGATCGATCTCACTCGATCGATCTCACTCGATCTATTTCATTCGATCGGTCTCACAATCGATATGACTAGCGATCTCACAATTGATATCTCTATCGATCCGACCATCGATCTCACAATCGATCTCACATTAGGTCTCACGATCGATCTCACTATCGATATCACAATCAATCTCACAATCAACGTCATCATCAACAACAACATCATCGTCATCAACGTCATCAACATCATCAGCATCATCATCATCATGATCGGGACACCGTCATCATCTTCACCGCATCACCATCATGATCAACATCATCATCATTATCATCACCATCACCATCATCATCGGGACACCGTCATCGTCACCATCATCATCAATATCATCATCATCATCATAATCATCATCATCATCAGCATCATCATCAGCATCATCATCATCATCATCATCATCATCATCATCATCATCATCATCATCATCGGGACACCGTCATCATCATCATCATCATCAGCATCGGGACACCACCATCATCATCAGCATCATCTCATCACCATGAACACCATCATCAGCATCATCACCATCATCGGAACACCATCCTCATCAGCAACATCATCATCATCATCAACATCATCATCATCATCGGGACGCCATCATTATCGTAACCATCTTCACCATCATCATCATCATTATCATCATCATCATCATCATCGGGACACCGTCATCATCATCATTATTAACATAAGCACCATCATTACCAACATCGGGCAACAATCATCAAAATCACCATCATCACCTCATCATCATCCTTATCATCAACATCATGATCATCATCGGGACACCATCATTGTCATCATCATCAACATCATCATCATCGGGACACCATCATCATCACAATCATCATCAACAGCAGCACCATCAACCTCATCATCATCGGGACACCATCATTATCATCTTCATCATCACCATCTCATCATCATCAACATCACACCATCATCGAAACACCATCATCATCTGCATCATCATAACCAACATCATCATCGGGACACCATCATCATCACCACCATCACCAGCATCATCATCAACATCTTCAACACCATCATCATCATCATCAGCATCATCATCATCATCGGGACACCATCATCACCTCCACCATCAGCATCATCATCATCATCATGAACATCATCGACATCATCAGCAGCATCATCATCATCAGCATAAGCATCAGCATCAGCATCAGCTTCAGTATCATCATCATCATAATCATCATCATCATCATCATCAGCATCAGCATCAACATCATCATCATCATCATCATCATCATCATCATCATCATCATCATCATCATCATCATCATCATCATCGGGCCACCGGCAGGACTCTGGCGGGACACCAGCGGGACACCGCGGGTCACCGGCCCCCGGAAAGGAATCGTTTGGTCCGGCCGCGCCTCAGCAGGAGGCGGGACACCGGCGGGACACCGCGGGCCACCGGCCCCCGGAAAGGAATCATTTGGTCCGGCCGCGCCTCAGCCGGAGGAGACTTACTTCTCGCCCGCCCACACAGCTTCGCCTCGCCCGCACGCACGGCACGCACGAACACGAAACCGAAACCGATTTCCCGGTATGGGGGCTCTCCGTTCCACTTCGATCTCACCACCCACTTCCGATATCGTTTCCCGAGCGGTGTGGCCAGAAAGCGCCCACCACGACGCACATACTATAAGAGTTCTCGGTGCGCGCGTCGCCCCTGAGGGGGCGACGCACACATAGTATTAGTATGTTAGGGTAACGCCGATTACGTTATGCTTCCTGGCGCTCGTCTCGGCCTGAACGCGATCCAGGGCCGCCCTGGGACGCCTGCAAGATGCTCCGAGACCAGCCCAAGACAGCTCAAATTACACCCAGAAGCCGCAAGATGTTTCCACTGTGCCCTCAGGGGCCCCCAGAACCACGACCCACTCCCGAAGTCCCCCCAAGATCCCAGGGAGCCCTCCATCAGAGGCCTGGGACACAGCCAAAGGCCTAACCACAGAACTATGGCACTGGCTAGTCAGTTCAACGTCATTTGCATTCCGTGTCGTCAGGAATAGGTCAGAGGGCGCCAAGAAGCCTCTAAGACGACCCGTAGACACCCAGCGGTTCCAAATACGGCCGAAAGGTCTTCCAATATGCTCCCATGCAAACCCTCTTGGGCGCCCCCGAAACGGCCCCAACGAGCCTCCTACGAGGCCCCAAATAAGCCCCAAAGGAGACCCCGAGAAGACCTCCCGAAAAATACAAAGCAACAGCCGTACGACTCGGCCATACCCCGCTAAGGCATTGTCACGTCGCTTCCCAGACGGCCCCGACATAGCTCTGCCGAGCCTATTCGGCAGAGCTCGGATGCCGTTTGATGCTTCGCTGGGGGGAAGGGCGGCGCGGTTTCGTCGCAGGCGGCTAGATACTTTCTCCTCAGCTCGCGCATCATTTTCTCCTCTTTGCCCTTCCACTTCTCCAGGATGGACGGGATCTCCCTGGCCTTCTCCTCGAGCAGGCCACGCTCCTCGTAGAACCCGCGCAGCTCCTGGCTGTAGTCCAGCTCCGGCCGCCCCGCGTCGCCCGCAGCTCTGCGCACGTTCACCTCCCCGTGCTCGAAGGACGGGTCGGAAAGCCGCACCTCGCCCGCCACCCAGCGACGCTCGTCTGCCCCTGCCTCCACCTTCGCTGCCCCCTGGCGAGGCGCCCGCAGGCACACGTCAAGGAACAGCTCTCGATTCGTGGGGTGGCAGTGGGGCCTCACTTTTGCACCGGCCTCCAGAACGTCAATGTCCGCGCGGAGGACCTCGATACCACCGGCGGTGCTGTTCAGCCCCTTCAGCAGGCTGCAGGTCTTCGGCATCTTGTAGCTGCACGCGTCGGTCCAGGCGCCTCGCTCGAAGCGGGGGTGGTAGATCCAGAAGTGCAGCCAACGCCCCGGGCTGTGCGGATCCAGCAAGGCCTCCCTGTCCAGCTCAGCATCCTGCGGCCGAGTTCGATTCCACTTGGCGTACTCCTCCCAAACCACATGCAGACTTGATCGCAACTTATCGGCCGCCGCAGATACTGCATACTTCGAAGCCTCTGATAGCGTGGCCTCCACAGCCCAAACACCCCCTGCATCGAGCGACAGATCCAATTCGTCCAACGGGCGCTGCCTTCTATCTCGCAACAGACCAGCTTCGACCGCTCCGTCGAAAAGGCGATCGGCTTCCTCTCGCTTTCCCCTCCAAACCTGCAGCATGCCGTAGTGTAGCAGTGCTCGCTTGGCATACGGATTTCCTCTCAGCGCCTCCCTGTATCTAGCCTCTGCAGCATGCTGGTCTTTTGCATACTTCCACTGCATGTCGCCCAAACGCTCCTGATACTGCCAGGCTCGCTCAGGATCCGCAACCAAGGCCTCCTTCAAAACTTCCATGGCCTTCGATAGCTCGCCCCATTTCAGGTGCCACTGCATCAAATTCAAATGCGCGGCGGGCTCCGTTGGATTTTCGCGAACCTTTTCCCGCAATGTCTGTTCCGTCTCCAATGTGATGCAAGCTGCATGCCTCCAAGCTGTTCTCGACCACAAAAGATAAATCCGGACGCAGATAGCAAACAATGAATGCTCCATGACGAGGTCGACGGACCATCCGATCGCATATGAGCCAACATTGCTACGGAGGAGCTGTGACTATAACGACGAGGACAATTCTGATAACAATGGTGGTGGTGGTGGTGGTGATCCGCGCCTCACAGTGAGCTCCTTCAGCGGTCCCAATGGTCGCGTCCCCATGTGGTAACCTCGACTGTTTCTCGTGGGCGAAAAACATATCTGCACCCGCTGCCTCGCAGGCCGGGCCCTTGGGACGCGACCCCGCAAATACGGACAGGTTTCTCGCGAACCGCGCGAAAGTTCGGCTCCCGAGTTCGGCTCCCCCAACCCTCACACATGTGGTGCCCCATACAGTAGACACACATGGCAAGAAATGCTCCTTGAAAGCATACAGGGGCACATGACTCGTCGATCGCTAAGGGGTCTGGAGTGAGATCCCAGAGCCTCCACGGATCCCCAGAGCCTTCGGGGAACCAGGCATCTGTTGGCAGGCTGGTTTCATATTTGATGTGCCTGCTGTGAGGGCATTGGATAAAGAATGACAGAGATCCATTGGAGAAGGAACCCAGGGTCTGGACGCCGTTGGACCTCCGATCGGGGAGTGGCCATGGATACCACCGTCGCCCTCATCGGATGAGGAATCCTCAAGGGTCCGAAGCCTCCTGGACACCTTCCTGAACGCACGCCGCCCCCACCGACCTCGATCGTATACCTTGGTTTAGGTCGGGCATGTCCCCCTACAGGCGGATTTTGGACGACAACCAAAAATACACCAAAAATGCTCCACTATGGTCAACAGATAATAACAAAGGTCGTCCCCAGGCTACTTACAAAAAAACAACTATGTTTGAATGTTCCTCCTGTAGACAGGCCCGACTCAAACCTTGGTCCGACTGCACCTCGGCACGCCACGCCACGCCGCTCGCGCCCTGTAGGAAGCCGCACGCGCCCCGTGGGCCGCCTCGCTCTCTTCGGAGGCGCCCTTCGCGCAGCTTGGACACGGCCCTGAGAACTCGAACTGCGGCCCTGGTGGTCTCGCTGCTGACGGGCCTGCTGAGAACAGCTTTTACACGAGAGCGTTCCACTACTCGCACAGTAACTACTCGCAAATGGCCTGGATCCGCCGCGGAGAACCTACGATAGTTACATGACGTCGAAACACGCATCTATTTTTTCGGAGGTTTGCGAGTAGGCACTCTGCGAGCAGTGGAACGAGCTCGGCGAAGCTCTGCGAACCCCTTGACGTACCGCGGCAAGCTGCGACGGAGAGGGGGAGGGCGAGGACGGGAGGAAGAGGCCGACGAGGACCAGAAGAGGGGGTCCAGACCAGCCTCGCCGCACGTGGGGTCTGGGGGCGCGTGCCCGGGCCACTCCGCCGGGGCTGCCACGAGCCCAGGCCGAGTGAGGTCGCCAGGGCCAGGAACAGCTGGAAGGAAGCCGGCCATGGCTGGAACGAGCGGACGGCCTGGCCCCAGCCACTCTGTCCAGATCGCCCGTAATCGAAGGGGCCCCAGGACACACAAATACATACACACAAATTGAAGCATTCCCCAGATTTTCCCACATTTTCTGGATCCTGTCTTCCCCCCCCACTCCCCATACTTTCCCATATGTTCTGGGGAGTCGACGATCCATTGTGTCTGTGTGTTTTTTTTCCCTCCTGAGTAATCTTCTGCAGCAGGTCGCTGTCATCCTCCTGGGCCGTGGCCGCGGGACTGGCCCTTCAAGTCCCTGCAGAGGCAACCGCTGATAGCAGTCGCAGTTAGGCAGGAGACGATTGCACCAAATGGTGTTCAAAATGGGTAAGAACTGCGTACCCTTTTTCCATGTGCTTAATGGGTTCAAAAATTGGTTCTAGAATCCGTTGGGTTCAAAATGGGTAAGAACTGGTGTTCAAAACAAGCCTTCAGTAGCCTTCGTCCCCATCCTTTCCGTAGCCCGTTGGACAGTTTCCGTAAGCCCTTCCCATGTCCTGCCCTTCCGTCCGGCCCGACAGAACGAAGGGGCCCTGGGGCACACAAGCGAATAGACGCAAATGACCGGATCCCCCATACTTTGACACACATTTTCTGGGCTTTCGTCTTCCCCCCCCACTTCCAGTATTTTCCAATATTTTCCTGGAGGCGACGGGGCCGTGCCGCGGAGTGGCGCCGACCTCCCCGCCGAGGGGGAGGAAGGCCAGGGGGGAGGAGGGAGGGAAGAGGCGGAGGAGGAGGACGAGAAGGAGGAGGAGGAGGAGGAGGAGGAGGAGGAGGAGGAGGAGGAGGAGGACCGAGGAGGAGGACGGAGAAGGAGGACGAAGGAGGAGGACGGAGGAGGAGGAGGACGAGGAGGAGGAGGAGGAGTAGGTGGAGGAGGAGGAGGAGGAGGTTTTCTCCTCCCGACAGAAGTCTGCAGCTCGTGGCCTCCTAGTGCCACTCCAGAGAGCGTGCTGTCGGGGGGCGCGCCGCGGCCGGGGTGCCAACGCGGACGCCCCGCCGCGGGCCCAAAGGAGCCCCCCCTGGAGGCCCGAGGAGTCTCCGGGGCCGCCCGGGCAACCATAGGGGGCCACAAGCGAACCCTACTCCAGATTTCGTCATAAAAGGGAGGGGGTCTGGACCCTCCAAGACAAGCCATGTCAGACCTCCCCCGTGGGAGAACCCTCCAAAACATCGTCCCCAGACCCCCCAGGCCCTCCAAGAGAGCCTGGAAGAGACCCCCCCCGAAATGAGTCCCCCCTCCCTTTATTACGAAATCTGGAGTACCCCTACCCCCCACGATTTCTGAGGGGGAGGGTGGGGTTCACTTCTTTGGGGAGGTCACGAGCGAAGTGAACCCCACCCTCCCCCTCAAAAATCGTGGGGGGTAGGGGTAGGGTTCGCTTGTGGCCCCCTAAACCAGAATCCCGCGACTCTCAGGCTTCGAGTCTCGATTGCTGGGAGGCCTTCGTGGAACGGAAAGGGCCACTCAGCTCGATTGACAGGCCACTGAGCTGAATTAAGCCGGGTGAGGTCCAGGAGTCAGCTGGGCTGCAACCGGGATACGCTGGATGAAACGGGACTCGGCCAGAGCAGGACGGTTTCCAACCGCGGATATACCAGCGCTGATGCTGGGTTACCAATCGGTCCGAAGAAGTGGGTAAACAATGAAATAGGAAGGCGTTCAAAATAGCTCGGGCTTTCGCCAGCAGAGGGAGTCAATCGATCACTAGAGCAGGAAGGCGCCAGAAGTATACTCGAATCTGGAATCCAAGAAAATCTACGTTCAACGACCGATGCAGAATCATAACAAACTGCGTAAACATAAACGTAAACGTCGGAGGTCCGCGCGGATTCTTTGGATCGTCGCTGGACCCCCCGCCAGGGGAACCAAACGCCGACCAAGACATCCGCGCGGTGCTCCGAGAGTTTAGATGCCTACGGCAGGGTCGTGTCGTGTCGACCGCCGCGCTGGCTGGTGACACCACGGGGATCGTTCAACCTTGAATGACATGAAGGGGCCCTGGGACACACGAATAAATACACACAAATAACAGGATTCCCCATATTTTCCTATATTTTCTGGGTTTTTGTCTTCCCCCCCCCTTCCCATATTTTCCCGCATTTTCTGGATAACCGACGACTAATTGTGTCTGCGTGTTTTTTTTCCCCTCCCGATGACAGGCCGTCTCCGAAACGCCAGAGCGTTCGGCATCGATCGATCCCGGCTCGCCCGCGGCAGCCCACGTGGAACGCCTTGCGGCGGGCTCGCCGCCTGCCGACGCGACGCGAACCCGCCGCGCGTGGTCTTCCGCCCCTCCGCTGGCCGCGGGGCCCGGCCTTTCCCCTTGAGGGCCCCCCGACGCCCCGCCCCGTTCCACGGGGCCCGCGCTCCGTCGCGGTGTGCCTCGTCGCCCTCCCGCCCGGCCCCCGTCACGGGAGGGGAGGCTCCGCGGCGCGAGCTGCCTCGCTGAGCCCCCCCCCCCCCCCCCGTGGGTGCCCCCCCCCCCCCCCCCCCCCCTCGTCCGACCCGACGGGCGGGAGGGGGACGAGCGTGGCGAGGAGGAGGAGGAGGAGGAGGAGGAGGAGGAGGAGGAGGAGGAGGAGGAGGATGAGGAGGGGGAGGAGGAGGAGGACCCGGCCCCGTTTTGGCCACGGTCTCCTGGGGCCCCGCGAGGGCCCGTGCAGTGGCCGAGAACGGTCACAGAAGCCCCCCCGGTCGCGAGCTCCTTCACGGCGCGAGCATCTCGCCGTCGCTTGGACGCCCACTCCCCAGTGCACGTTTCGGTGTCGCGCGCGTCTTTTTTCGGCTCGGCGACCCAGGATGCTGCTCTATATGGTCCTGGCCGAGAAAAACAGTGCACGCGTCCGAGCGATGCCGAGAGGAATGCCCAGACCGGTCCTCGAGCCTCGAGGTCGTCCTCGAGAGCCTCGAGGTCGTCCTCGATCCTCGATCCTCGAGGTCGTCCTCGAGGTCGTCCTCGACCCTCGAGCCTCGAGGTCGTCCTCGAGAGCCTCGAGGTCGTCCTCGATCCTCGAGGTCGTCCTCGATCCTCGATCCTCGAGGTCGTCCTCGAGAGCCTCGAGGCCCCGCCGGGCCGCGGGCGCCTGGCTTGCCTCCGTAGACGAGCAGGCTCTCGGACCGGGGCAGCCAGACCTGCGGCGGCGCTGGCGCGTGCTCCGCTCCTCCTCCTCCTCCTCCTCCTCCTCCTCCGCCTCCTCCTCCTCCTCCTCCTCCTCCTCCTCCTCCCTCTCTTCCTCCTCCTCCTCCTCCTCCTCCTCCTCCTCCTCCTCCTCCTCCTCCTCCCCCTGGCGCCGCGTGCACCTGCTGCTCGAGTCCAGCGAAACTAACCTTGTCCAACGAACCCTTCTGGTAGTCTCCGAGAGCAGGGGCGGGCCTCCTCAAAAGGCTCGGAGGTCCCCCTGCCTTCCGAGAAGTTTTCTGAGCCTTCCCCGAATGCACAGAAAACTTGTAAACTTGTAGGTTCTCAGGAGGCCGGAGCGCTTCTGAGAAGCCCCGCCGCCTTCTGAGAAGGCCTTCTCCTTCTTACTCCCCCCCTCCCCGCTGGCCCCCGATAGTTCCCCCAGCAAACTGAGATTTCTCAATGTGCTCGTTATCTTGCGGTCGAAGAAACTTCAGGGGTAAGATACGGCTGAAGAGGAAGTCCGCCACCGTGCCGCGGGGCAAGGAGCGGGCGGGTCCTCAGGTCCTCCGCCCAATCCCCTGAGCCTCAGTCCTCGATCCTGAGGGCTCTCAAGGGGCCCAGACTCCGAATTCACAAACCTCCTTGGGCTTGCTGCGGCTTCCCGCATGTTTGCCGCGGCTTGGCCAAGAGGGCGGAGGGCCCTGAGACGCCCAAATATCGCCCCAAGACGCACAAGATGGCCCCAAGACGGCCCAAGAAGCCTACAAGACGCCGAAAAAAAGCTTCCAAGAGGCCTCCCAAGAGGGCCCCAAGAGGCCAACATCATTGGTGTTCCATTGGTTTTTGACGGATTTGGGCGTTCTCACTTTTTCGGCTTCGCTACGCTCCAGGACTGCCCGGGAGGCCCCCAAGATCGCCCCAAGACAGCCCAAAAAGCGACCAAGAGAGCCCGAAAACAGCCCAAGAGGGCCCCAAGACGGCCCAAGAGGCGCCCAAGACGGCCCAAGAGGCCCGACAAAAAAGGCTCCAAGAGTGGGCCCAGATGGGGGGCCCGAAAACATATATCGAGCCCTCGGCCCCGAGGGGCCCCCAGGAGGCTACAAGAGGCCCCCCAAGAGGCCCCCAAGAGGCTCCAAATAGGCTCCAAAGAGACCCCAAGAGGCCCCCAAGAGGCCCCCAGAAGGCTCCCAAGAAGCCCCCAAACTGCCCCAGGAGAACCCAAAGAGGCCCCCTGCCCCCAAGAGGACCCCGAGAGCACTCCGAAGAGACCCCAAAAAGCATCTCTGAGAACTCTGACCCACAATCCAGGCACGGTGGCGGGATGGGCCGAAGGCCAGTTGAATCCGCCGCCCCCTGCTTGCAGGGGTGCACGGCGTGCTGGATGATTCAGGTTTTGGTTTTGGTTCTTTTTCTAAAAGAACTCCCCAGTGGGCTTCGGCCCGTCCCGCCGGCCACCCGCAATTTCCGGAAAACCCATCTCTCAATGCCCAAAAACGGCCGTTTCGCTCGGGACATCCTCAAAAAATCGCGAAGATGGCCCAAGATGGCCTCCAAGTCCGCCCGAGATGGTCCAAGACGGCCTCCAAAACGGCCCAAGAGAGTCCAAGACGGCCCAAGACGGCCCAAGAGGCCCCCCAGAGGCCTCCCAGACGGCCCAAGAGGCCCCCCTCCAGAGAGCCTCCTCCAAGAGGTCCTCCAGGAGAGTCCGAAGAGGCCAAAATCATTGATTTTCCCTTGGTTTTTGAAGGATTTTGGCATTTGCGCCTTTTCGGCTCTCCGACGGCTCAAGACGGCCCAAGAAGCCCCCAAGATCGCCCAAGAGGCCCCCAAGAGAGCCCCATGATGGCCCAAGTGGCCTCCAAGATGGCCCCTAGAGGGCCCCAAGAGGGCCCAAGAGGCCTCCAACACGCCCAAGATGGCCTCCCAGACGCCCAAGATGGCCTCCAAGACGGCCCTGGAGCATTCCAAGCGGGCCCCAAGTCGGCCCATAGAGGCCCCCCAAACGGCTTCCGACGGCTTCAGACGTGCCAGGAACCCACCAAGATGGCCGAAGTTGGCTCGAAGCTGGCCCGAGACGGCCCAAAAAGCCCCAAAGATCGCCCAAAGCTTGCCCAAGAGGCCTCCAAGACGGCCAAGATGACCTTCAAGATGCCCACGTGTTCCCCGAAGGCTTTCCAAACCGATTCGGGGAACACGTGGTCCGATAGCTTGGCAGGTCTGGCCTCAACGTTCGGCCACATAGGCGCTTCCAAAAAGGCAGGGGGCGGCGGTGATTCGCCGTAGGCGTCTTCGATCCGCCGCCCCCTGTGGTCTTGCCACAGGGGTGCACGGCGTGCTGGATGTTTCAGGTTTTGGTTTTGGTTCTTTTTCTAAAAGAACTCCCCAGTGGGCTTCGGCCCGTCCCGCCGGCCACCCGCAAGTTTCCGAAAATCCATCTGTCAATGCCTTTGTTGCCCCAACTTGGCCCAAGATGGCCTCCAAGACGGCCAAGATGGCCCAAGATGGCCTCCAAGATGCTTCCAAGACGGCCAAGATGGCCTCCAAGACGGGTAAGATGGCTCCAAGATGCACCCAAGACGGCCCAAGATGGCCTCAAGATGGTCTAAGACGGCCCAAAAGGCCCGCAAAAGGCCTCCAAGACGGCCCAAGAGCCCTCCAAGACGCCCTCCAGGAAGGCCCGAATAGGTTAAAATCATTGATTTTCCTTAGGTTTTTCAAGGATTTTGGCATGTTCTTCTTTTCAGCTCTCCGACGGCCCAAGACGGCCCAAGAGGTCCCCAACATCGCCCCAACAGCACCCAAGAGGCCTCCAAGATGGCCCCATGACGGCCCAAGAGGCCCCCAAGAAGGCCCCAAGAGGGCCTCAAGACGGCCCAAGAGGCCTCCAAGACGCCCAAGATGGCCTCCAAGACGGCCAAGATGGCCCAAGATGGCCTCCAAGATGCCTCCAAGACGGCCAAGATGGCCTCCAAGACGGGTAAGATGGCTCCAAGATGCACCCAAGACGGTCCAAGATGGCCTCAAGATGGTCTAAGACGGCCCAAAAGGCCGGCAAAAGGCCTCCAAGACCCCAAGAGCCCTCCAAGACGCCCTCCAGGAAGGCCCGAATAGGTTCAAATCATTGATTTTCCTCAGGTGTTTGAAGGATTTTGGCATGTTCTTCTTTTCAGCTCTCCGACGGCCCCAGACGGCCCATGAGGTCCCCAACATCGCCCCAACAGCACCCAAGAGGCCTCCAAGATGGCCCCATGACGGCCCAAGAGGCCCCCAAGAAGGCCTCCAAGAGCGCCCCAGAACAGTCCAAGAGGCCTCCAAGAACGCCCCTAGACGGCACAAGAAAGCCCCAAAACGGCCCCAAAGACAGCCCCAAGACGGCCCGGCAGATCTCCCAAACGCCCACGCTGGCGTCCACTACGGCCACGATAAACCCAAGTGAGGCCACAGAGAGGCCCCCAACCCAGCCCAGACGGCGTCAGGCAGAACAGGAAGGCCGCAAGGCATCCAAAGAGGCCCCCAAGATGCTTCCAAGACCGCACATGTGGCCCAATATAAACCCAGAGTAGCCAAAAAGGCACTCAAGAGACCTCCTCCTCCATTCCCCCCCTTCCTATCTCTCCTCTCCTCCCCGTCCTCCCCCACGTGTTCCCCGAAGGCTGTAAAGACCGATTCGGGGAACATATGGCCCAATAACTTGGCAGACCTCTGGCCAGTAGTCGGCCGCATCGGCGCTTCCGAAAGGGCAGGGGGCGGCGGTGATTCGCCGTAGGCGTCTTCGATTTGTCTCCTTGGATCGGGCAGGAGTGAAACTTGGAGCTGTGCTGCAGTTCTGCAGTTCTCAGCTATCAGCGACGACGGGGGCTGACGTATTCTCGCTACCCAAGGGTGTCTTGGCCGCAATGCTGCTCGTCTTGATCTGCTCCCGCTGGACGTCGAAGTCATGCCAACTTACCTTCAACGTTAGATTCGGAGGCTGAGCTGCACTGGTGCAGTATGTGTGTATATATATATATATAGTGTGTGTGATGGCCGAGCCATCAGGGTTGCTACGCTAGGGGGGCCACATGCGAACCCTATCCCCACCCCCCACCATTTCGGAGGGGGAGGGTGGGGTTCACTTCGCTCGGGAGCTCTCGAACGAAGTGACCCCCACCCTCCCCCTCAAAAATTGTGGGGGACGGGGGGAAAGTTCGCATGTGGCCCCCGATACGCGTGCACCTGCTGTTGTGTGTTTGGTTTGGGTTAGATGCGGAAGAGGAGGAGGAAGAGGAGCGAACCATCGGAGGAGCAGGCGGACACCTCCCGTGAGAGGAGGAGAAAGGCGGAGGAGGAGGAGGAGGAGGAGGAAAAGGAGGAAGAGGAGGAGGAAGAGGAGGAGGAAAGAGGAGGAGGAGGAGGAGGAGGAGGAGGAGGAGGAGGAGGAGGAGAGAGGAGGAGGAGGAGAAGGAGGAGGAGGAGGAGGAGGAGGAGGCGAAGGAGGAGGAGGAGGGGGAGGAGGAGGAGCAGGAGGAGAAAGAAGACGAGGAGGTAAGAGGAGGGTGAGCATCTCTGCTCGAGCGAACGATGCGGCAGCTGCAGGGCGAATCGAGTGGTCGTCAGGCGAACCAGGTGAAGGCCTCGTGCACCGACCTGCGATAGGCAAGGTCATGCATAGGAGGGGGACACATGCGAACCCTACCCCTACCCCCCACGATTGTTGAGGGGGAGGGTGGGGTTCACTTCGTTCGGGAGCTTCCAAGCGAAGTGAACCCCACCCTCCCCCTCAGAAATCGCGGGGGGTAGGAATAGGGTTCGCATGTGGCCCCATAATGCAGCAAACCACTGCCTGCGAGAAGGCGAGTGCTCCTGCTGCTGCCGAGTTCTGCCATCGGCCCTTGAGGAGCGAGGGGGAGGTGGATTGAAGACAAAGGCAGACGGAGGACAAACTTGTAGAGGGCCGCGTGGAGTGGGCAGCAGCACGCGCGCAGCAGAGTGCGCCGAACCCTTCGGTGCCCCCATCGCGCCCCCGAAATCCAATCCATGGAAGCAGACACCGCCCGCGACCAGCCCTACATGAGAAGACGGACGACAAGCCCGGGCAAAGCCTCCAAGCCGTCCGAGCCGATCACCGCGGTGGGCGAGCACCGAGGGGCGAGGTTGCCAGATAGGTTGGCTGGCAAGGGTTTTGACGGTTCGGCCCTTTCCCGTCCTCTGGGAAACCTTCAGGAGGCCTCCATGGGGACCTCCAAGGATCAGGGTCGGGCGAAAGCGAAACTTACCAGCTGCTGCTGCTGCTGCTGCTCGTCCTCCTCGATCCCTTTTTCCTAATACCTTATCCTTTTCGCACCCCCAGATATGTCGGTAGGGCGTTTTGCATGAGATTGCCTTGCATGTGTCATCATGGAGCTTGTTACTTGCAACAGCTTCAGGGATGGAGGGCGGGTGGCTTTCAAAATGGAGCTCTCGCCTTAGCTCCGCGCACATCTGTTTTAAAAGTTTGCCGCAGCGTAACGGATGAAGGGCGGTTTCTCTACAAAGTGCGGATGTCGCCTCAGCGCGGCGTGCATTCGTCGTATCACTTTACAACATCTTTATCACAACCGAAACGGCCATCAAGAAAACCATGAGTCAAGACACCCAAACCAGCTTCCCAGACGTTTCTTCAAACAAACCTGGGCAAACATGTTCTGCTCACGCTGGAGGGACGAACGTGCTGAGCCAGCTTTCCAGCAAATTGTTTCAGATACGTTGGCCCAACTTTTCAGGATGAGGTTTCTTCTTCAGATGATCGATCGTAAAGATGGAAGGGGTCTCGTTTTCAAAACATGGTTCTCGCCTTAGCGCCACGCACTTTCGTCTGAACAGATTGCAGCAGCTTCAAGGATGAAGGGGGGATGCTCAAAATGCGGTCGGTTCTCGCCTAAACGCAGCGTGCATTGGTCTCGATAATTTGCGACAGCGTCATGGATGGAAAGGGGAACTTTCCAAATGCGACTCTCGCCTTCGCGCCACGCGCATTCGTCTAAGACCTTGGCAGATGCTTCACGAACGGACCGGCGGGTCGTTTTCACAATGGTGCTCTCATCTTAGCGCCGCGCACATTCGTGCTTACTGGAATTGGTGATTTCAAGACCTTCGTCACGAACTGCACGACATAGATTGCGATACATTGCTTGCCAAGCGCAACTTGGATAACATCGATTGCACCACTTACGTACCTTTTCTCCAACGACAGAATCATGGGCTCGACCCCCCCCCCTCCCCAGCTCCACCCCCAAGACAGAAACGGCACACCCTTCTGCACGCAGCGTGTTCGTATGCATCGCGCACGGTCGCTCATCCGAAACATCGCACACGGACAATCCCATCCCGGCCGCACAGGCATCGCCTCGCCCCCCCCCACCCCCCCTCCGCGACCCCCAAGGTTTGCAAGATGTGCAATGCGGTGCACATGCTGGCCCGAGCTGTGCGTCGCAGAGATGTCGAATAGTATCTCCACCCGAAAACCCATGCGGGCCACGCGCGCGCGCACCGCGCGCGCATATGGCAAGACATCGATTTCAAAAAACAGTGGGCCCCCTGACAAGCTCAAAGCACAGCCATAGGGAATCACAATGGGGAAAAACAAAACTATGTCCAAGGAAAAACTAAAAGTGTTATTCAAAACTATAGGGTGTGTAATGTTCAGTTCCCAGCAAGCTCAGCTGAAAGTGTTATTCAAAACTATAGGGAAACCAGTGTTCCTTCAACGGCGAATATGTAACAGATTTGCGCGCGCAGTCGCCGAGTCGGCAATTGCCACAGCGGTGCCAAGCAAGACCAGGCGGGTCACGAACGCGCCCATGTCGAACACATCCAACAGCCATGGCGCACCCGCCAACTCAGTCAAATGATGCCATGTGTGCCTCGCGCGACCGTCTCGGCGCGCGAACGTCTAAATCCTGCCAGCACCAATGGCCTTCTTGACATCTCAACACAGAGGTGTTCAAACTTGGAGACCTGGAAATTGGCACCAACACCAACACAGGGGGGTGCCTCCACAGGGGGAAGATGATCCTCGACTTCGGTATTGGTCGTGATATGTCGGTCACCTTGGAAGCCAGAATATTACCACCATCACCAGGATCGGGATCTTCTTCCCTCGGTGGAGGCACACCACCGATATTGGTGTTGGTGTCAACCTCTAGCCCGCCTTGACATCTCACCACTGAGGCGTGCAAGCGTCTTGCTGTAGGCGTCCGCGGGAGCCCGGTGGTCCAAGACAGTCCAGCGCCGGTCAACAATCGTTGGGAGGAACCAGGAGCGAACCGAGACTCGAAGGCGACGAGGATTAGGTCGGGCATGCCCCCCTACAGGCGGGTTTTGGTTGAAAAATCAAGAATACGGGAAACAAAAAAAAACTCAATAATCATCCACAAATGATCAACAAGTCGTCCCCATACTAATGTGTTTGACTACTTTTGGATATGCCTCCTGTAGAGGGACGTGCCCGACTTCAGACAAGGAGCAGACGCGCGAGGAGGGAAGCGGGAGGAGTCCGAGGAGCCGCTCAGACAGAGGTGTTCAAGCGCACGCGTGCGAAGAGCAGGCGCCCCGCGAGCGCACGAGGCGCCGCTTCCCGCTGACTTTTCTCCCTCTCGGGTGTGGACGGGAGCCCGTCCAGCTGAACACGTACGGTGACGACGTTGGTTAAGGAGTCGTTGGGTAAGGAACCCGGTCTGGAAGCTCGTGGAATTCCAATCGTGGACGGCCATGGATACCACTGCCGCCTGCATTAGACGAGGAACCTTCCAGGGTCTGAAGCCCCTGGGCACGTTCCTTAACGAACGCCCCCACCGTACTACGGTGACGGCGGTTGGCAAGGAGTGTGGCCAGGACGCTGCCCTTGCAGGACTCCTGATCTGATGAGGGCGGCGGTGACATCCATGGCGAATCCACGAGTGGAGTCCCACCTAAGGGAAGAGGCAGTGACATGAACATAACAACTCGGAGGTCCGCGCGGATTTCTCGGATCGGCGCCGGGCCCCCGTCCCCGGCGCGCGGAGCGCGCAAGGGGCGGCGCCGGAGGCGCCGCCAGGGGGGTCCAGCAGGGATCCAAGAAATCCGCGCCGAAAAGCCCTTAAAAGAACACAACCTGCCAACCTCCGCCTCGCCCTCCCGAGGGCGCCGCCTAGAACTTGGGATGGGCAAGCCCTTGAAAATAACACAATCTGCCAACCTCCCCCTCTCCCTCCCGAGGGCGGTTCCTGGAATTTGGGAGGCGGAAGCCCTCGAACAAAAACACCAGGCCCTCCTCCTCCTCCCTGGTGACCAGGCAGGGATGCCGTGGATGCCGGCGCAGGCGGGATAGCCCAGCACTGGACTCTGTGTTCCATTCTTTTCCCCTGTCGCCTCGCGCTCGTTCCCCCCTCTGTGTGCGTGTCCTCGCCGTCGTCTTCCAAATTTTGTGGACCAAAGCGGGGCTATCCCTGAGCCGACGCCCGGATCGAGATATCCCACCACGCTTGAGGCGGCGACCATGGAGTGGCCCCAGAGGCTCGGGGGATCGAGCGTCGGAGCGGTCAGCGCGGTCAGCTCGAGGCCGCTCTTTTTCTGGCGCAGGGCGGAAGAAGGAGCGGGAGGAAGGAAGGGCACGAGGGGAGGGGGGGAGGGGGGGCGAGGAGGGATGGAGAGGGGTCTTGGGTGGCGCGAGGGGAGGGGCGGGGGCAAGGGGGCGAGAAGCAGGACAATTGAGGGGTGCGAGGGGGGCGGTGCGGGGGAGGAGCACACGAGCACCAGCGGGAGGGGGGGAGGAGGGCGAGAGGGAGGCCACGCCCGAGCGCATCCATCATGGACTTTTCCTGCTCATGCTCGGGCTCAGGCTCCTCCTCCTCCTCCTCCTCCTCCTCCTCCTCCTCCTCCTCCTTCACCTCCTCGTCCTCCTCCGACCCCCACACGCTCTACCACACCACATCACCCAGTCACCCCTCGCCCTCGCTGTCGCACTCATCCTGATTGCCGTCGCCCCTCCCCCTCACCCCCACGATCACCCGCACCTTCAACCCCCCGTCCCCGCCCCCCTCGCCCTTACCCCGACACATCATCTGTGGGTGCTCCGTTCCGCGCGCTCCTCTGGGAAAGCCACACGCGGGAACCTCTCTCTGACCTGGGCGCGGTCGCCTTCCTCCGTGCCTCCAGCAGGCTTCCCGTCGCCACGGCCGGATTCGCCTCAGGCCTGGGCCAAAGCACACACACACACACACACAAACACACACCTCGGGAGAGGTCCGGGGGCCCACCTCTGCGTGCGGAAGAGGATCAGGAGGATGCGAGCCACGAGGATTTCCCACGTCAGCATCACCGATGGCAGCGTGCGCAACGGTCCCTCATTTGCTGCCTCTACGAGATGCTCCCTCTACCTCCCAGCCGTGGTCCCCAGTCCGTACTCCACGCAGTACCTTAGACCCCCTCTCTCTCTCTTTCTCTTTCTCTCTCTCTCTCTCTCTTGTTGTCTCGTTCTCCCTCATTCTCTCTCTCTCTCTCTCTCTCTCTCTCCCCCCCTCCAAAATACACGTCCTGGCCCTCGGGATGCTCGAGACGATGTGTCCGCGACGGCTGCATTCAGACGTAAGAACATGCAGGACACCGAAACTAACATACCTCAGTATGCAGTCATCGCGTGTGCGCAAAATTTCACTGCTGAACACGCGCCATTCGGCGTTTGACGCATACCGCATGCGGCTGCATGCAGTTTACTCGAGCAACAAAGAAATCGTAAACTACAGGTAAAGGTGCATCCGAACTCCTCAGACCAGGTGTTCGTGGAAGCATCGTAGCAGAACAGGTCGCCCAGCAACGTCGCAGTGAAACCATTCAAGGCTACACCTTAGAGGTGGAAGTGGAACTGAACGGGGGGCAACAATACGAATGATGTAACGGAGTGGCGGTGTGGAGGGAGGTGGAGTCTGGACGAAGCGGGCCAACTGCGGACCGAAGGAAATCCGTCCGAGAGGTCGTTACCACTAAGGAAAAGTAGGTGAGAGACGGCAACACGTAAACATAACACACATGTCTACTCACAGATGGGATTGCAAATGCGTGTAGACATAATGGAGGTTTTACACGTGCGTACATGCTTCGTATGTGGTTGGCAGCGTAGACGCAAATTAACGTAGATTGCACTCTCGATCTGCAATATGGGGTGCAATCTATACCGTGCAACAGCGGAATCACAAACTATGTTGTGCATGCCTTGTAGTTCAGCGTGTGTGGTGCAAGGTAGGCAGTGCAAGCTATGTGGTGAAACCTGTGTGGCGCAAGTAAGCTATGCGGTGCCAACCATGTGATGCAAGCTGTGGTGCAAGCCATGTAGTGCAAGCTATGGGGTGCAAGACATGTGGTGCAAGAAATGTGTAAGTTATGTGGTGTAGGCCATGTGGTCTAAATTACGTGGTGCAAGCTGTGAGGTGCAACATGAGGTGTAAGCTATGTGGCTGCTACGTGGTGCATGCGATGTGGCCAACTACCATGCAATGCAAGTTCCGTGGCAGGCACCACGCTGGCGGACACCGCGCGGGCACGAGGCGCTCATGGGCCGACACGTGGCGAAACGCTGGCTGGGGAAACCACCTCCTCCTCCACCTCCTCCGCCGCTGGGGAAACCACAAGGCACTCATACCGCATACCGCTGCTCCCAGGACCTCTCCTGGGGTGCCTTCTGACCAGAACCTCGAGGCGAATCCAGCGGTGGCGACGAGGGCCCCCCAGGAGGCCGACAAAGGGGACTGCGACGGAAGGGTGGCGGTATGGGCACCTTTCCCCCATCGGCTGGCCACCCCCGGCCAGCGCATCGGGCGCCCACGAGGCTGCTGCACGGGGCGGGCGCATGGCGAAGCTCCGGCGCCCACCCAGCCGCCGCCCACGAGGCGCCCACGGGACGCCCACGACATGGCGTGAGGCGTGGCGGAGGCCCGGCCAGCTACTCGAAACAGATACAGGAGCCCCTCTCAATGCAATCACTGCATGGGCTACACATATATACACATATATATATGTATATAGAGAGAGATAGATAGATAGATACTGTAGCACCCGGCAGATGCGGATAAGAGTGAGGGGGCGGTGGGGACGTCGGCAGTTTGCGAGATTCTGGAGAAGCCCGCCGCAGGCGCCAAGGATTCACAAATTATACAACGAGCCCGCAGCAGGCGCCGATTGTTTCATTCGTTGCTAAACGAATGTGGGTAGGTCGCGGGTGGGTCGCGGGTGGGTCGCAAATGGGTCGCGGGTGTAGAGGGCAGAATATCCATCCCATAATGATCGCCCCGACAAGCGAAGCCGTATGGTAAACGCACACAAGGAATGAATCGAGGAGGGCAAGGCTGTCTGGTAAACGCCCAAGGTCTTTTAGTAAACGTCAATTGTCGGGTCCGGGTGGTTTCTCCTCCCTTGAGGGTGGGTCGCGAGGTGGGTCGCGGGTGGGGTCGCGGGGTGTGTCGCGGGCGGGTCGCGGGTGGGACGACGACAACAAACAACAACAACAACAACAACAATTACTAGCACGTGGGGACACACCGTTCTCACCAGTGCCAGGGTTTTCATAGGAGGCGGGCAATACCCCCACTTTGTGGGGGGGCCGGTTCAAGCTCTACCAAATTTCCAAACGACTCTTCGCCACCACCCACACCCAGCTTCCCGCCCTATGACGTTCGGACACTTCACTTCGTGGCATGCGGACGACCGTGGCTACTATTCAGGGCCCCGCGGCCGACGACGACGGCGTGCGCGCGCGAAGAAAAAACGAATGTGTCCCGCATGGTATTATTTGACAGGGATGATGGCCCTGGCAGGTGCGCAACCGTTGTCGCAGAAGTTCGAAAAAGTTGCTCGCAAAAGCCCGTTTGACAGAAATGTTTAAAAAGTGTTGGGTTTCCTACGAATCCGCAAGAGCGCGCGGGATGAGATTTTGACATTTTTTTGTTGAAAAACCATTGGTTTTTTGATGTTTTTATGTTAAAATCGCTCCGAACACTAAGCTTTTGGAAGGATTTCGTCTTGCGCGCGCGAATGTCCACTTTACCTTATTTTTTGCAAGGGATTCTTGAAATTTGATTATATTAGAACAAGAAATGTCATTTTATAGTGTTTTTTGCAAGGGAAAGCGGGGGGGAACAAAACAACCGGATCTTGATCACATCGAATTACCTGAGGCTTCCTCACGAAAATGATGAAAATGTAGCTGCGGCCTAGGCGGCGCAGGGGGGCCGTGCACCAGGGGCCCAACAATAATTATTCTTTAGAATTAATAATGTTCAACAACAACACAACAACAACAACCATTTTAAGGCTGTACGCTCTTACTTGCCCGCGAGTCATTCAACACGTATACCCTACACCCTCGATGCCCGCCCTCTTCGTCTTCGATCACACCCCTTTCGGGGGGATTATTTCTCTTTGCTGGGGCCGGCGGGCTTAGACGTACGGGCAAACCGGAACGGGCGGACAATCCTTCGGGGGCGTACATCTCTCTGCCCGCCATTGGAATTGGCGCGGGCCCTGCAAGAGGAGGAGGGGAAGAACGAGGGAGAGTGGGAGGAAGGGGAGGGGGAAGGACGAAGGAAGAGGGAAGATACCACGTTGTGAAGGCGTCCTTGGCGCGTGCGTGGTTCCTGAGCGCCGAAACGCAATTCCAGAATAATTTGTGAGGACGTCGCACGCGAGAGCGCAGTCCTGAGTACATTGTAAGGAAATCTCGGGCGGAAGCGGGGGCCCTGACTAAGTTGCGAGGAAGTCTCAAGCGGGAGCGCCGTTCCTGAGCAAATTGCGCGGAAGTCTCAGGCGGGAGCGGGGGTCCTCACTAAATTGCGAGGAAGTCTCAGGCGGGAGCGCCGTTCCTGAGTCAATTGCACGGAAATGTCAAGCAGGAGCGGGGGTCCTGAATAAAATTCGAAGAAGTCTCACGCGGGAGCGCCGTTCCCACGTAAATTGCACGGAAGTCTCAAGCGGGAGCGGGGGTCTTGATTACATTGCGAGGAAGTCTCAGACGGGAGCGCCTTTCCTGAGTAAATTGCGCGGAAGTCTAAGGCGGGAGCGGGGGTCCTGAGTAAAAATCGAGGAAGTCTCAGGCGGGAGCCGTTGTTGTTGTAGCCCGGGGGGCAGGGGCACAGTTTGAGCAGGAAGACTTTCCTTGAGAAAAAACAATGTGCGAGCCCCGAGGGTGGCACTTCAATCGAAAAAAATCAATGTGCACCAGTGGGGGGGATCAACAATAATTATTCTTCAAGAATGAGAGTTCAACGACAACAACAACAATAACAACAACAAAAACAACAACAGCAACAACAACAAGGCGAAACACACACACACACACACACACACTGGCGCCCGGGACCCAAGTCACCAGGTCGCGTTTTCGCCACCGGGGCGAAAACTCACACTCGTGCGCGTTCGCTGACCCCCCCCGGCAACACAGCAACACAGCAACACTGCAACATAGCACCGAACAAAGCAAACACCTGGATCCCGCCCTTACGGTTGTCGGTGTCTCCCCAGCAGGAACAATCATACACGCTGCGTGGAGCCGAGTTCCCACAGCGGCTTCCAGTGGTGTGGAACACTGGTGGTCGTAAGGTAGTCGTGGTCATTGTACGTGACGTCCTCGTACTAGTCCTACCAGTACTAGTCCTGGTTGAAGTATTAATAGTAGTAGCACACATTAAAATCGTTGTTTCAATTGTTCTTGTTCTGGTGGGGCGCAATACGACGTAGTAGTAAACGTATTAGTAGAGGTGCTCCTAGCAACAGGAGTACTTGTATAAGTAGTAGTACTAGCAGCAGCAGCAGCAGCAGCAGCAGCAGCAGCAGCAGCAGTAGTAGTAGTAGTAGTAGTAGTAGTAGTACTAGTAGTAATAGTAGCAGTAGGAGGAGAAGTAGCAGTCGTAGTAGTAGTAGTAGTAGCAGCAGTAGTAGTAGTAGTAGTAGTAGTAGTAGCTGCGGTAGTAGTAGTAGTAGTAGTAGTAGTAGTATTCGTAGTAGTAGTATTCGTAGTAGTAGTAGTCGTAGTAGTAGTAGTAGTAGTAGTAGTAGTAGTAGTGGTAGTGGTAGTAGTAGTAATAGTAGTAGCATTCTCAGTGGCAGTAGTAGTTGTAATAGTAATAATAGTCGTCGTAATAGATGGACCAATAGCGAAAGTAGTAGTAGTAGTAGTAGTAGTAGTACTAGTAGTAGTAGTAGTAGTAGTAGTAGTAGTAGTAGTATTAGTTGTCGTTGTCGTAGTAGATGGACCAGCCGTGATATAATTATTATTAGTAGTAGTAGTAGTAGTAGTAGTAGTGGTAGTAGTAGTAGTAGTAGTAGTAGTAGTAGTTGTAGTAGTAGTAGTAGTAATAGTAGTAGTAGCAATACTATTACAAGTCGTCGTAGTCGTCGTAGTTGATGGAACAGTAGTAAAAGTAGCAGTGGTAGCCGTAGGAATAGTAGACGTAGAAATCGTTCTAGAAAGAGTAGTGGTAGTAGGACTCGTAGTAGTAGCGGTATAACAGTAGTGATAATCGTAGTAGTAGTCGTAGTAGCAGTAGTAATAATAATAGTAGTCGTAGTCGTAGTACCAGTAGTAGTAATGGTAGTAGTCGTAATAGTAGTAGTAGTAGTAGTAGTAGTAGTAGTAGTAGAAGAAGTAGTAGTAGTAGTAGTAGTAGCAGTAGTAGTAGTAGTAGTACAATTGTTGTACTGGTAGTAGCAGTCGTAGGAGTAGTAGTCGTAGTAGTAGTAGTAGTAGTAGTAGTAGTAGTGAAAGCAGTGGTCGTACCAGCAGAAGCAGCAATGGGAGTAGCAGTAGCACGAGTAGTGGCAGTAGTAGTCGTAGGAGTAGTAGTAATAGAAAGTAG